GGGAAATCGGTATACTCAATGACATTTGCTCCGGCTCCTCTTATGCGCTCTATTACCTGTCCAAAAATCTGATATTGCTTTCTAGCCGTTTCTTTCTGCTTGACCTTTTCCCATACTCCCTTCCAGGGTAATCCAAATTGAGCTCCTCGAAGGGCTTCCTTCCCGGAAACAAATGATACAAATGGGGCGGTTGGAAAGCTACCTGTAGACGATACAGTTTGAATGAAGGTTGTCAATCTTGTGGTGGCAACCCCACTGCAACTGTGGCCTGAAATAATTAGAGACTTACGGATATCAAGACGGGCGCCAGTAGGCGAATCGACAATGCCATCTAAAGCAATTGCCGCATCCAGCACTGTTCTCCCAAACGTGCCAACACTATCAAGACTGTGTGATTCGGGAATAACGCCCTTACCACAAGTCAGTCCAACCGTCGGTTTAATGCCAACAATTCCATTGCGATCAGCGGGCACCATTATCTGCATTGAGTATTCATTAATATCCAATCATTGTCCTTGCCATTGTCAGCGTATAGAACAACTCAGCTCACGCTTCCATCAGTCTCAGTGCCTAGGCTGAAAGCGCACATGTTTGATGCGACAGCAACTGCACTTCCACAACTGGAACCCCCTGGATGTTCGGCAAGGTTATAAGGGTTCCGGCATTGGCCGCCTCGAGAGGAATAGCCTTCCGAGCTTCACAACTGTTAGCGAAATCTTCGGCACCGTTTTCTCAATTGAGGTTTCGGCTTCGCCTCACTAGTACGTTGATCTCATTGATGCCCACTCGGACAAATTGGCATGCCCGAGTAAGACGGCACCAGCTCTCCGGAGGAGAGACACGACGTGTGCGTCTTCCGGGACGACAGTCCCTACTAGCACTGTAAATCATTGTAGGGATGAGTAAGAGGTTTAAGATGTTTAGATGTAAAGCGTAAAATCTGAGTAGCCTCTATAACATACCAGAGGAGCCAGCAGTCGTTTGCATCTTGTCCTTCGTACCCATGGTCTACATGTCATTAGAACCAGACCGTCCCTTGCGGGTAAAAATAGATTCGAATGTACGAGGTGACAATCAAATGTTATTCCCGACAACAAAACGGAGATGGATGTAAAACATACATCCTTAACAAGAAATGGAATCCCATGGAGTAGTCCATGATTTCTCCTCTGCTCCCTTTCGCGATCCATCATCATAGCAATGTCTAGAGCATCGGGATTGACTTCAATTACAGCTCTAGATTCGAAAATAGTCATCAGAATTAGTCGAAATACATTGTGCTGCCCGTCACCTTTCTATTACAAAAGGAGAAAACTTACTTTAAGACTCGATTGACGCGCCTGATTCTCTCCAAGTAGCACGCTGTCAGGTCATAAACCGAGAACTTCCTGCTCTCGAGACATTTGTGTAGTTGAGGGATAGAAAGCCCCTCAATGTCAACGCTGCGACATAATGGCATGCGAAGATCTACCTCCACCCCTCCTCTCTTGGAACAATTGTTGTCTTCTTTATTCATAGCACCGGTATGAATACTAGCGAATGCCCGAAAGGTCACCCGTGGCCAGCCCAAACCGGGCGGGCGAACATTGAGCAGAGGTTTGACAAGTTTGATGTACACCATAACTTATTCCCGGCATGATTAGGAGAAATTCATTAGTTGCAAAGAAGAAAATATCCCCTCTTCCAAGGTATAATCTTGATATTGACACAAAAGGCAGGATCTGTGGAGGTAATTCATTGTCCAAGAATAGTAATTTTACATGTACTGTACGGTAACTACCCATAGTTATATACTTAGGGAAAACGCTGTGTTATGTATGTATGTAACTTATTTCTCTGTCTGATGTCTGTAATCCTAATACCGTAACTTCATCGTTAGTTAATAGAGCATGTTAACAACCATAACCCCTATTATTTGTTACTGCTACTAATTACGAGCAACAGCCAGCATCGACATACCACCAACCTCAGCTATTTCATCACATCTCGTCGACACATCATAGTTATTCTCATCCGGTTTTGGCACTGGTACCAAAAATAGAGAAAACTCTCATATTGCATATTACAACTATGTCAAGAGGTCTTGCATAAATCAGTGCTATCATCCAGCATTGTTTGTTGCTGTCTCTCTATCCACCGTTCGATATTTCATTCAATTCTGCATTTGATTATTCGGCTGAAAATATACGCATGCATTTATTTATATAAAAGTTTCACTAAGTCACTCAATGACAGTGCGCAACACTTTCGTGGAAATCTGTCACTCTTGCATACCAGGGGGCAGGGGGCAGGGGGGAGGGGGAGAGGGAGGAGCGGAGAGGGTAAGAAGAGTCTGACCCAAAAGTTGGGCATTAGCACATCTAGGAATTGCCCAAAGGGGCCCTCTGCAACCGTTGGATGACACTATAGTCAATAGGAATATAATCGGTGCGAGCGAAATGCCTCCAGAGCTCGCCGGGGAAGGAGGGGGCCCCTGGTATGCTTGCTCATGTCCTCAATAGCAGCCCCATGTTTAAGGGTTTTGGTAGCAAAGACAGCGATCCCTTTGGCAAAAACCTACACTTCACGTTTTTTAACCCCAAATCCATGCGCTTCTGGAGAGCTGAGGAGAGGAATTTGTGCCGTAAAACGGTGCCCTGGCCCCTCTCAGCACTGGAGGATCGTTCTGCTCGTACTCCTGAGGCTTTCCGCTAGAAGTAAGTATAGCGTCAACAGATATTATTGAGAATAACACATGTGATGAAATACCACCTCCGTGCTGAGATACTCAGGTGAACCCCGAAGTCAAAGGATGCGTTTCACATCCCATTTTATGGGCAGGGGGTTGGTATAATTGACGTGATTCTCATCATTGGTGGCAAATAATAGGCTCACTTACAACCGAATTGCGCCTGCGCGGTCGACGGCAGCATCACATATCTCCGTATATTGCATCCAATAGGAACTTAGTCCGACACGGGTTCGAAGGCAGATGTAATTCAATGTCACGTCCGTGTGATAAAAGAAAACAGCCTACGACCAATACGTACTTAGCGGAAGAGATAACGGCCGAAAATACTGATATGCGGGATTGATATTGACGTAAGGTTGATAGAGCAGAATAAGTCTGTGCCATAGGGTAGTCCTCCAGGAATAATGATGGAAGCGCCACTAGGCATCATGAGTGTCCGCTTCGCACTATTCACAATAGTTGCTGGTATGCAATAATGAATAATATGGGTCTTGTATCAGACACAAGAGATCCCTGTGGAATGATATTTCTGCCGAGCCGCGACTCGCTACGTCACAAAACGGGTAACATGAAATGGCAGTCACGACTGCCTGTGAGCTGCAATATGTCCGCAGGGCGACAGTTTACCATTCTACCGCAGTGTATGCTGATACTCACGGGCATGGGGCAGGTTGTTGGTAAATAGTGAAAGGGGTTGGGAAGATAGAAGGGAAGTGACCTTCAGACAGGGAAGGGCGAAAATACGTTACCGATAGAAACAGAGGGAGCTTTGTAGACTCCAAATGTACCATACAGATGTAGTAGCAAGGGAGACGCTAAGCAGGGAAGTAATGAGGCTCGAAACCTCCCCTCCTGCTAGTGATAGTTCCGCACCCCCGATTTGGAGCGTGGATTCCTCATTGCCACCAAGGCACAGACGACGATCTCGTTAAAAGTGGCAAATAATGCTTTCCTTTGTCTCCAGGACTTGAGATGCCGTATTGCCAAAACCAAAAGCCGTCACCTCTGGCACTGGGGTAATGAAGCCACGGCTGTTTGAGAAGGGAAACAGACAAAGAGCGATCCTCGGAAGCTGGCTGTTGGGCATGTTCTAGTGTATTGTGCCCGTAATGGGAGCCTAACGCTGGTAAGGGAACGTTCCTTCAACTAGGCTCATGAGATCATGCGTCACGGATCGCCACACCCAGGGGGGGGGGGAATGACAGTAAAGGTATACAACACGATCATTATCAGGAGGGATTGCAATGAATCTTTGATGAGAGCGACAGATATCCGGGGGAATCAAGCCGGGCAGACGATCATCGTCGTCTTTAGATCGAGGCTAGCAGGTGATGCCCTGGCCAGGAGTTTCCTAATGGTGTGGTCGGTTGACAGGTATACTGTTGCAGTAACCCACACTGGGGAAAGTGACTCTTAGACAATGTCCGCGAAATGGATTGCAGGGGATGTTCGCCTGAAAAGAATTGACAAAGCCGGACATGTACCGGAAGCCCAACCCAGCTGACACTCAGCACTCCGAAGACACTATCGCAGGTATGAAGTATATGGATGTTGCCTAAAGGAGTGAGTTTTGCAGGCTAGGGAGGTGACAAAAGTGTGAGAACAGAGGGAAGTTGGACACCAAGTTGGCCAACGCCAGCTGAAGGAGAACCTAACTCTAGCGCCATAACTTAGGATTTGGGGTTGCCCATGTAAAAGGGTGGCGAATTGGCAGTGGATAAGAAATGGGGGCCAATAACTGTCGTATATCTCTTGTCATAGTGCATATTCCAAAGAACCCCACCCTCCATTTAAAGAGGTGGTATGCAGTCTTTCCGCATCCATGGCCGAAAAGAAAAGGGCACTAAATAAACAGGGAAACTGAGTGTTGAGCTAGAGTCCGAGCCCGGTTAAACCGAATGGGATGCCTACCTAGGTGCGGCAATTGATAACTAAAAGGTGATAAAACTGAGGTTCATTCAGCACTGCCTCAGAGGAGTGGCGGACTTCAAGAATGAAAGGAGCAACTGAAAGAAAAAGAGAGAGAGATTAGATATTGAAGGTGGTAAAACGAATGGTCAGCAACCATATCGGACCTTGCGACAAAGGAGGAATGTGTTAAATCACATCTATGCGGAGAAAAAATTGAACAGCAGAACAGAGTAAACAGAAATCAAAATAGAAATGCTGCATAATCGTTTTTCAAAACGTCACGGTTAATACCATAAGTTTATCATTCTGTATTAAGTAGACAGGAGAGCGGTTGGGGATAGAGACACAGATGAGAGTGCTAGGGAAATGCTATGGTATCGTCAATCCCCAACCAGTGCAATCTCAGTTGGTTGAAATAGAAATGCATGGCATAGCGTAACAGCAAATACAGCACGACATCGTCAATAAAATGCCACTGGGATTGGACCGCATGAACAGGAGGGGGATGTTGTGGTTGAAAATGCCCGAGAAGAAGAACTGACGTTGGCGGTTGATGATACAAGGAGCTCACAGATCGGGCATAGTGCCGCGTGAGGCTGATCTTCCCCCAGCGCCTAGCCCCGTTTAGGTCAGGCGTTTTCCTTTGTTTGGATGCGGCTGGTTAGGGTTCAGGGCAATGACATCATTAGCCGCCGCAGTCCCCCCTGGTCGCCAAACAAGAACACAGCCTATCAACTCCCCCAGAAGAACAACGATGATGTCAACACAACAGTATCCAGTGTCCATAACAAGGGGCAGGAGAAGACCCGTGTGATCAATGACGATTTGTTTTTTGAGTTGGAGGTTCGAAGGAGAGAACAAATCATCCGCAATGATATAGACTGTATTGGCCGCTGTTGAGATATGTCTGCGTGGGCGTATGCCGTGTTGCCCTTGCGCGACGCTGTCGACAGTGTATGAAAGGGGATAATTCGCCAAGCAAGCGTGGGGACTGCCTGATAAGGATAAACATATTGCGCTCGCGATAAGACAGCGTTGGACATCAACAGCACTCACAGAGGATTGGTCCTCTAGCTCGCGACATAATCAAAGGGACCTGGCCTGTGGCATTATTGATGACCCCCAAGCGGAACACGAACTGAGGCGGTGCACAGCAGGTTGAGCCAACCTTTGTTCGAAGGAATGTGTTCAAGCCACAGTTTTCATGCCACTGATGCCGACCAGGGTTCGTGTGGCTGATTTGGGTGCGTGGTGTTAGCGCTCTTATATGCACGACCCTCGTTTTCCTTCTCCTCCTCCTCCTCCCCACCCCCCCCCTTTTCTCCCATCCGTCCATAGTCTATAGGGTAGACGATTTTCTCAAACCTGCAGCTAAGGCCAACCTCCGCGCCGAGGGATATGCTAAATTGAGTCATATCCTGGTTTCTCACCACCCATCTTGCCATTCCTTTCTGCCTGATTGGACAATGTGAACTGTCTGTCCATATGACAGATGCATGCCGACAAGCGGGAGTCTGGCAACGCTGAGAAATGTGTCATGTTCACCCTCTACTTCATACATCTGATTTTGTCTAATAAAGAATTTAACCTTACTGTTGACAGTGAAGACGTGTTGCCAGCAGATGGCTGTTAGACACACAACGAGCGGGGAGGGGGGGTTTAGACGAGCTCATAATAGCGATGACATCTGATGATTTTCTTTTTTTATTGACGTCGGCATTCACAGCCGCTACTCTTCGGAAAACCAAACCGTCTGTCTCGTCATCATTATCTTCTCCCCTACCCCCGCGTCCCGACTAAGGAAGCGGCAGCATAAGCCGCCCTGGAAGCCCCTCCTCGCTATAGGCACGACCACTAGCTATAGGGAAGAGTCGAGACAATTCAGCCACAGGAGTTCAAAACTTCCTTTCATCTAGATCATGGCGGACGCTGTTCTGGGTGCGGGCAGTGCTGCCTATGTAATTTTACATCGTGGATTCAGTGTATATTACGATACGCATCGATTTTGCTGCCCGTATCGCCGGTTAGTTACAGTATACCATCAAAGCTGGTATTCGCTCGTTTTCTCCCCAAGGCAGGCCCACACAACCCCGGTCAACTTAGTGTTACCCTTAGCTCCCTCCCGGTCGATGACCCTGTGCTCGTTACCGCTAGAATTAGCGGCATCTATTCCCGGTCTGGCGCTGGTCAGTGCTTTGGCGCAGAAAAGTTATATATCTAGATCGGCATCCTCTTCCTCCCCTCCCCCCTCTCCAATCATACACACCAATCCAGAGCATCTCTCCCAAACAACATATAAGACTCCTATTCCCCCGTTTGATCTCTCTTCCTTTTTCCTCCTCAACTCCGTTCTCGTCTTGTTTATCTTCTATATTGTAGCATACTATCCTTTGCCAGTGTGCTTGTCATAGTGTCTTCTCCTCGGTACCCTCTTCCCACCTACCATAACCCCACTCGCTATATTGGGGCCCATATTCTCAGTCCGCTTACACCACCGCACAACTACTTCCCTCGTCATCGACGTTACACTATGCCTTCTCTCGTTCGTGAGATTGGCGCTGAGCGCCCGGTCCTGTCTCGCGCGCCCCGAGATGACGAAAAATATGTGATGGAGCGATTCTCACAACATGCTCTTCGCTGCCCCGCTTGCAGTCGCCCGTACGAGACTTTCTGCAGTGGGAGACCCCTCTGCAGCCGTGGGAATCTTTATGCGACTAGTCTATTGCAATACGTGTACCAAAAATGCGGAAAACCATACTCCTTGGTTGACCGTGAATACGGCCGTTATATCCAGGTTCAGATCCCCAGTGATTGCCAAGTGGTGCACGACTTGCTCAACGCGCTCGATAAGGGCCTTATTATACCTACTCGTAGACAGACCGCACCGGTCGTCGTTCACAACCCCAAGCCAGTTGCCGAACCCGTTCAAGAGCAACCGCGCGTAGTTCACCGACGAACCATACCTACCACTGTTACCCCCCACAGCAGCCTGAACCTCTCTCGCAATGGCTTATACGTCTATCGCCGTGGGACGCTCTACAGTCTTGACCTCAGTCGACAGACCTCACCGGCCTCCTCCCAGAGGGTTCGCATCCCAAACACCTACCTGCGTTGAAGAACAATAACGCCATACGAATGCAGATTTACTCATATCGAATAACCCCACTGCCCACGTACATACGTTAAACCTGAATTTCAGCCCATGGCAACTGAATATATATTCCCACAGACCTTGCGACAACCACCGCCCCCCGCCTTCGGGGCCCCGACTGAATCACGCGACAAACACAGGGAACATGCACTAGTACATCGCAATTCACAACATCATGGCGGCAAAGCCACAGGATAGGTCGGGACAAGGACTGTGATGAAGCATGCAATTATTCCAGCGAATCCCCCAGCACTAAACACTTGCACAAGCCCCAACAACCCCGGAATAGGCATATCGGTACTAATGGATTGGTGAGTCGGAGGAACGAGGAAAGCATCGAAATGGAAGAGATGGAGCGGATGGAAGACAATACTTGGTGCTCTCACTGAGGTCTTACAATGGTACTGTCACGACAGCCCAAGAGCCCCCAGCGATAGAGCTCTTTTTTGTACTTTTTTGATTGTTTGATTCTTGTTTTATTTTCTTTTCCATCCTTGACTTCTATTCATGCATTGTTAACACCACTTTTTTTGACGTCCCCATTTATGTTTGAATCGCCTGAGCTAGTTTCATCCCTTAGGAGAAAAGTATGAGCAAAATGGGAGAAAAGGAAAATATAAAAAATTAGATAGTTAAGCCAATCAAGGAACTTTTCCGCGTCACAAAGCCTTTAACCACCTAAAAAGTCTCATTCCTTGACTTCAAACCACACCGCCAAACAGGCATCTGTATTATTTTGTAACTTATTTTTTTTAAAATCCCTGAGGCCCCCAAGAAAGAGCAGAAACCAACTTCAAGCCTCTAAGAAAGGAGGAAAAGGAAGAAAAAGAGAGCCAAGGAACATTCAAAATCTCCAAAAGGCCTGCCAAGATCTTTCCCCTCCCCCCTTGTAGGCTCCTACGAACCCAGTACCTTCACACTATCACCAAAACGTCCACACCCACCTCAGCACGAAATCTGTTCTTCTGCTCATGCGCGGACTCTTACTCTTGGCAGCATGACATGATTGGGCTATCGGTTTCCCTTTTGGGGTGCGGATTTGGTTTCCGACTGTTTTGGTGGTAGGAGTCATATGGCTATTCGCACTTTGCATTCGTTCAGCTGGCGAGGTATTTGGATATGGCCTGGGTGTGTGTGCACTTGGGAATTATTTTCTTTCCTACTATCATAATTATTATAATTAACTACCCATCCCATCCACAAGGTGTATGTATACATCCATTCTTCTGTAGTGCGTCCACGGGTGCGAGGCCGTAATCACGTGGGGTTTCGATGCCCTACTACTTCACCGAGCCCTGCTTGGGGCAAACGGCGTAACCTGACACTGATATCCAGGCGCAAAGATGTTCCTATAGCAGGAAGCCTTTATGAAGTTTCCTAGAGTTACTTTTACCCAACTAGAGCACGGAGCTTGGATATCTACCTCCGTTTCTGGCGCTTCCCGAATGGGCTTTCCGGACAAGTGAGTATGTCACCGAACTGGGTACGGTTCGTGAAAGCTCTCATGGGGACGCAAGAACCAGAGGAGATGTTCTCAATATGCAGGAAGTTACTAGTAAACCTACGCACAGCCCTATATGCAGCTATCCGTCTACAGCAGCGGGAGAGGCAATGAGGGTTATCCGTGTCGACTTTGGTTGGATAAATAACAAATTCAATATGGCAGACATATTACGAGAGACCACCGGGAAGCCCTATTTTCTAATGATTTGTTCAAGGAGGAGTTGATGCCGTCCTCCCCAATGATTTAGTGGTTAGTTGATAATTAGTATTGAACGACCTGGAAGAAAAAGCGCAGGAAACACAGGACGCAAGGGGATCTTTCGCAAGCGAGGAGGCATTCCACAAAGTCAAGCTTCTGTGGATATCCATCGATATCCTCCGAACAAAGCAACGACCTGGCAATAAAAAAATCTCCCTTTGTGACTCAAAACGAAAAATGTCCAGACCACTGCCAGAAAGCGGGTCGGGGCTGTCAGCCTCCGTCATGCAACCTGCGTTAGGCCGTGCAGGCTGCGAAAGAAAAGCGCCTTATGATTAGGCGCGCCACTGCATTCCACCCACACCAAATTCTCTGCATCTTAAGAGGGGAAGCGGGACCAACGGTGGTATTTTTCACGGAGCCTCGATGCGGGGCCTTATCTTTCTTTGTGCGAGAACAACCCTCCCACCGCCACGCTGTCAGGTCAGGCCTGAAAATAAAGTTTAAAGTTTAATACTAGTCTTCATCTGTTTAGCGCGCTCATATCTTTCACGTGATTTCCAAATCCTCTCCAATATATCGTCAACAGCGCATCGAATCTTTAAACAGTGCTTTGCGCAGCCAACGAAGCCAATCCCTCAGAGAAGCGCAGCCTCCGAGGCCCCAATATTTGCTTTGCTGTTCCACCTCGATTGAGCGTTATTCGCGGGCTCATTTCTATCCGGAGTCCCTACATCCCGACCCAAGATCGGCAAATCCTGAAGGTCCCGCAAGATGGCTAAGAAAGGTATGGAGAAATCACCTCCCTCAGCTTAACACACTACCAGTCTAGATCTACTGGCCTTGAGAGGGCAAGATCCCCAAATTTATGAAATGTCAATATTCTAATTCGTTTCTTGTGCTGTGAAATAGCTAAGTCGCGCACCATCGCCGTCCGGCTCATCAGCATGGCGATGACTGGCTACTACCGAACGCTCGTCCGGCCGCGTACCAGCAGACCCCTCAGCATGCTAAAGTATGACCCGGTGGTGAAAAAGAAAGTGCTGTTTCTGGAGGCGAAGCGCGGAAAATAAACTCATCGAAAGAAATCGACCCCTTTGCGGTTTTCGAGTATGCATACCCGGTCGGTAATGGACGCCCATGTCACCAAATCGATGGTTCATCATTGCATTGGCAGTGGTTGGTGTGGCGGGATATATTGAAATGGATGAAATGCCGCACGTTGCATCATTTGATGTAGCCTGTTTCTCTGCTTTCCTTGTCTCTATTTCGGTTGGGAAACGAGTGAGTTATATTACTCAAGCCATCCCTAGAGGGCCTAGTCCGGATTGAATGTGCATTTATGGTTAGAGAAGGCCCATATCTGTGTACGAGTATATGTTTGTGCGATACTGTTGGCACCGTTGGGATTTCCGGATATTTATTTGGCGAAAATTCGGTTGTACATTGCACCTCCCCCTTCTTAGACGTCTTTATCTTGCATCCAAGGCGTTTTTAACATAATAGATTATGTGGATTGAAAATATTAACTACCCGATACATGTTTACGACATCTTGCTGAATTCCCCTTCGAAATTGCGAAGCTAGCTGGTTTTCCTCTGATCAAGTCTCCCGAAAAGAACGGATTGCAGACCGCTGCAAAATATGTATCCGCTAACTTACACATCAGTAAAGATATCGACAGTTTATCTAACTCCTCCTCATTCAACCACTTTGACATTCCATAAATATATAAGTAGAGAGAGGCACAGTTCGATTCCGGACGGAGGAATCCGTGCTTCACACTGTAATTGCCCTTTTTTATCCGGGGGGTTTCTGGGAGAATCTGTTGTGGTACAGATCACCTACTGATGAAATTAGCATCTCGTTGCGGGCGACGATGGGAGTTTTAACTTTACCTCTCTGTCTCCGACGAGGTCTTTCTCTAACACGCCCGGCTGGTGGATGAGATTTTTTGGTTGTACTCCCACATCGTCCTCCCATGGCGGTAATCGAAGCCGCCGGGCTGTTTGTTGGATTAAAATACTTAGATTTTCGGGAGGGGCGTCTAAAAGTTATTTTAGGACTTGCACCCATCGGGGTTTCCCCGCTGTTCTCATGTGGTGGAGTTTCCACTACAGTCTCTATCGTAGATGAGGTTGGCTTTGTCGTATCCTTAAGGATTCCTGTGCGAGGGAGCTTTTCCGGGGATTTCTGGCTTGCAACCTTCTTACCCTGCTGTTAGACTATGTTCAATAACCACTTGTCCCTTTCTTCTAATGTAAGGAAAACGAAAACTTGGGGACCGCTTACCATTGTATGCATTTCGTCCTCAGACATTTTTTTTCTTTTCAACGTACGAGCGATTGTCTTTGGCGGAGAGCAAGGATTGTCTTGAACCTCGAGGTTATTATCAATCCTACATTTGTTAGGGGTGCTGGCTGCTGCGGCAGGCTCATTTCCTGTAGCCTCATGAGGAGCTTCGGCCTCTATAGAACCCCTAGATTGCTCGCATTCTTTATCACGGCGAGATGTGCATATAGCATCATTGACTGCATCCGAAACGCACAGAGCGCTTCGCTCCTTTGTTCTAGCCACTTCACAAGGAAGGATAACTTTGTCACTGGGTAGGGAGTTTTGAGCTGCTGCCATTCGTGCTTGATTAGAACCAACATTTTTGGCATTCATAGGTGTTGTTGGGAACAATGCGTTCAGATCTGTGAATTCTAGTACGGGAGACATTTGCTCTCCAGGATAAATAGCCGGGGTTGTTTCGTTTTGCAGTCGGGAGAATGGCCTGATAAATGATGTGGAGGTCGTAGGAAGCCCACTATTGGCATTTTTACCTCGTGAAGGGGTCTTAAGCGTTGGGGATATAATTTCCCGAGTGCTCCGTGTCCGATAAACTATCTCAGTTGTTTGGCGCTCTCTGCTAGAAGAACCGGGTCTCGCGCATTCAGCATGAGTGGACGACATACTGCGTTTCCTGCTTGTTCTTTGCCGCTTTGATGAGATCCTCATAGGTATATGGAGCCCTGATTCTATAGGCTCTTTTGGCTGTCGTCCATCAAGAGAACCTGCCATCATCTTCAATCGTGACTGTAGTACGTTTGAGTAATCTCTCAGCGATTCCATAGTCCCAATGATTCCAAGCTGCCTTAGAATGCTTTCCGTGTTTTTGAAAATAACGTTGGATTCTTGGACTCGAGATCGGAGCTCTGCAAGTTCATTGTCCCTTTGTTCGATATCGCGTTTTAGTGCGGACGTTTCAGCAGATAATTTTCCAAAGGCCTCCATTTTCTGCTCAAGGATGATAAGTTCGTTATTCTTCTCCTTAAGCGATTCCCCTATTGTAGTGACCGAAGTCAATTGATTATCCAGCCTCTCGCGCAGTATGGCGATTTCAGCTGATTTATCAGCCACCTCTTGCTGCAACTGAGAGATCGTCTTATTATTCTCTTCGGATTTTGACAATTCTTCCTTCAATGAAAGAAGGTTTATATCCTTCTCTGCAATTTCATACTGAAGGACCTCTACTGTCTCCTGTAAGGGTTCCTGCTCTTGCAGGGTCGCCAGGTTCATGCGTAATTCGGATAGTTGGTGCCTCAGCTCTTCTTTCTCCTTTGTTGCAGCCTCAAGTTGCCATTGCGCGCTCTGTAGCTCTTGTATGGTGGATGCATGAAGCATATTTACCTCATCCATTTCCGCGGCGATATTCGAATCCCTCTTCGATGCTGTCATTTTCAGGCTATCGATTTCCGACTGCTGTTGGCTCATCTACGGATCATCAATATATTTAGCGGTGAGGAATTGGGATTAAACGGACATACCTTTGCAACTAACTCGTGATTGCCCTTCTCCGCAGCTTCCTACGACACTATCAGTAACCAGGAAAAAAATATATATCATTTTAGTATACAGTACCAACGAAATTTTCACGGAGTTTAGCTCCTCGGCCACTTTTTGGGCACTTTTTTCGGCCAAAATCTTTTCGCGCTTGAGTTTATGCCGTTCCTGTTCGAACCATGCCCTGTGCTGATCTTTCGCTGCCAAATTTGCCCTTGTTAGTTCTTCTCTGACTCTGTGTTCTGTCTTTTGGGCCTCGTCGCGAATCTTAAGCCTTTCGCTTGTGAGGCCCGCTATCTCGCTTTCTGCAGCTGCTAGCCTTTCAATTGTATCCGTCAGCTTTAGTTCCAAGTCGCTTATTTCGCTTTGTTTCTCTTTGAGCTCATTTGACACTTCGGTAAGGGAGGCTGAAGTTGCCTCCAGCTGGATCTGAAGCTCCGACGACATGTCGGCATCCCTGAACTGAGCATCCTCAATTTTATTCTTTTGTAGCGATGAAATCTCAATTTCGAGGTCTCGAATACGTCGTTGTAGGGATGCTTCTTGAGACTTGAGTCTGTCGCGATCTGCAGACACCATATGCAAGCTCTTGTCAGCCGCATTCAGCTTTTCCTGAAGGTTTCCGTGCAATTCACGAGCTTCTGCGAGTTGACAAACGACTTCTGTGTTTGATTTTACGGCCGTCTCTAACCCCGTCAGCTGGCTTGACACCCGTTGTCCGTAGTTCGTGTGCAAATCGAATGCTACCTCCATATTCTTTTTCGACGCTTCAATGGAAACATGAAGCCTACCATGCCGTTAGCATACTCCATTAACGCTTCCAGGAGGAGAGATGAACTTACTGCATAGAAAGATCCCTAATTGCACAATCTACCTTTTCTAGGTCTTGAGGTTTCAAGGTTTGTTGCTGGCTGAGCGATTTCAATAACGACATGCATGAAGTAAACCCAGACTCCAGTTCATCCTTGATGGAAGACTGTGCGGAATTCCAGCTTTCAATATGCTTGTGGATCGTATCTATCTTTTTTATCATCTGAGATTGCCTTTCATCGATGTCTAAGGCCTGCTTATGATGTCTATCCGAATGATTCTTTATGTAGTTTTCCAGAGTAGCGACATGATTCCTCTCCCTGGAAAGGAGCTTCTCGGTCTCCGTCACTCTGGTAGTCGCTGTGAGCAGAGATTTCTCTAGAGTGTTGAATTCCTGTCGTACTCCAACAATAGTTGCACGATGTTGGCTCCAGCGTGTTTTCAATGAGCCAGTACTGTCACTCATTTGTTTCAAGGTTTCATGAATTTGATTTTTCTCTTGAAGCAAAGACTCTTGCGTAGATTTGAGAATTTGTCCTTCTTTCCGGAGAGACTCAAAATCACTCCCAACACTGGTGACAAACGTCCGTAGCTTACTAAACTTTGTCTTCCATCGTTCAACAAGTGAATTGCTAGCGTTAAGCCGTTCTTGCTGACTTTTACCAGAAATCTGCGACTCCCGCAACCTGGAGCGCAAATCATCATTTGTTCGAGTTAGTGCAAGCATTTCATCTTTCATTCTCTCCTTCATGGCCGTAGCTTCTGCTTCCATCTCATCCCTCTTTTTGAGCTTACGGATCAACATGTAAAAAAGGTCCTCCTCCGATGGTTGAAATGCAGATGAAGATCCTTTCTGGAGTGTAACTTGCTTGGTAGCCACGCCATTGACCACTGACTTCGCAGACATCGGATGTTTTGTGACTTTCGAATTCACCATTAACTTCGGTTGCGGTGTAGCCTTCATGGCTGATGGTCGTGGAGGAGTAAGTTTGGGATTCCCGCTGTGACTTCTGGCGCTTGCTGGCGAGTTACAGTTATCGGTATTAGGGATTGGCCCAGTAGGATCTTGATTCTTTAAGTTGTTAGAATCTTCAGTTTATGGGCAAAGCAAGCTAAATTCGCAATAGAAGTATATTGAGAAGCAAGACTACACAGAACACCAACGGGGGCAGTTGGGAGGGAAAATTTAAACATGAAAGCTATAACAGCAACATGAACCAAACAGAGTAGCCTCATGTGAAGGTATTTGGCATAGAAATTATTACTTACAGGTGATTGCGCCGACTGGGTATGATTCGCTGTTAACAAATCAATATTGCCCATTAAACAGAATATTATAAGTGGGCTTACTAGCTAAATTGCTGTCCTTCTCCAATGCATCGTTTTCTGACTGGCTATCAGCTCGATCTCCAATTTCTAAGGAGTGGCCAGTTTCTTTTGAAGAACGATGGATCCCAGCAGTCGGCCCACAGGTTCTTTCAGCAGTGTCATGAGTGATCGGAGATTTTGTTGGGGAGACCTGTCCGCTATTGATAGCACTATCTTTCGAAAGCGCGGAAGTTCCACTAAACTAGAATTAACTCGCGTCCATTCTGCCGGAAAAATAGTACTGACCTTGAGCTCGATTCGGTACAATTAGAATCAGGACAATTTGTCCCCGAGGGATTAACAATGACCTTTTGGTTACTTGCAGAGGCTAAGATGCTTCCAGCAGGTTTGGCTTTTAACCTTGACGTGAAATTGGGAGTTGGAAGCTTGGGTTTCGCAAAATGGAAGTTAAACTCCCCCGTCTCGAGGTCAGAATTCGGAGGCCGAGATATCAAAGTTGGGGTAATTTGGAAACAACTATTCAGGGAAACAGGGGTAACGGGAATAGCACATTTCTCGAGAATCTTCTTAGATGTGGGGGAGAGGCCAGCTTCATCACTGGGGAGATTCACAGAAAACAGATCCTCCCCCATCGTACGGCACTCGCCTAATGGACCTAGGGGGTTAGAAGTCATATTACCAAGGGGGGTTCATCATAGACGTATGAAGGTAGACTGCAGAAGGGACAGCTCTATTAATCTAGGACTAATCTGCACTTGGACCTATGCTGTTTCACTGTATCGGGAATGTATAGGAGAAGTCAATCCTACATGAAAGAAATCTCTCAGTGAAACCAGCAAGTGCCAGGGGAGTAATGTAGCTCGAACGACTGGGCTAAAGGATATAAAACCAACGAACTGAACCGACGATTATGTCCCTCTGATGGCACAGACTTCCCTCAATCGTGCTCTTCGCAACAGCAGAGGGTCCTGGTGAAAGAGGACGAGGATAAAACAGAGGTGAGGTGAGGTCAAAGAGGTGAGGTCAAACCTTGGAAGAGATGACGTTAAGGAGGCTCTTATGAGGCTTGCCCGATCCGGCAGGTTTCGCAGAGCCTCCTCGCAGTCAAATCCGTCGTCGCCAAAACTCATCATTAATGCCATCTGAAGATGCATGGGAAAACTAGAATACCCTGATTGGAAATACTGCGTGAATCGTTCACCAACCTGGAAACCGTCTGAGCCTCTAAGATGAGGCCAGTTCAAATGTCCCTTGGCATATCTCTTGATGTTTGAAGCAGGTTTGGGGCAATCTTTCAAGATGGCGCAACCGCGCTTCGACCAGCAGATTTGGCAACCCGGATGAGCCGATGTTCACTTGCCCCAATAAAACTACCTTCGCAGGTAGCCGCCTCACGAAGGGCTTGTATAGTAAGGCCATCCGTAGTAGCAATGCCCAGCTCACCACCCGAACATCTCGTGTCTGGCGAAGCGCCAAAACCAGACGGAAGTTTCGATGGGTTTTATCCAAAGAGTACTCTCTGTACTCCGTAGTCTGAACAGATCCAAGAGTTCGAGTGGTGTTGGGAAACTTAAAAAGTTGTTATCGCTGACAGAAACGATCATTGGGCAATGTTATTATATGATTCAAACAAAATGCAACCCATTTTGCACGGCCACCGAACGGCTCACACTCCAGCACAAACCCCCTCAGGATCAACAAGTCAGACGGACATGATTTTTGTGATGGCTGTTTACATGAGGCCCTAACTTCATGATAGTTTGTAAGTTAGCTAGGCATTTTGGCATTCGCATGGGAATGATCAACATCATCAACAGAAGCTCACTGGGGTTGCACATTCTTGCGTGATTGAATTGTGATAACTGATGTGAGAACATCTGAAGATGTTGTGTGATTGCATTGTGAATCACCCCTGGCTGCCTTGGCCATCGGCCTAGCGTGGCAGACCGTGTCAAATCCTGGCGTTTCTTCATAATCATTGGGCCATGAAACTTTAACTTTGCAACAGAGCAAGCGCTAACTTGGCCATACAAACGATCGCACGGAGTCTCCACGATGCTTTAGCTTGCTGTGCTCTGGGAAAGCTCGAATAGAGATTCAGGACATTGCCAGAACCGCCCAGGATGAGCATACCAATCCGCACACATATCGCCTATCATGGAGTGTATGGTCCACTCGAAATTCTTCAAGAATCTGGGGGAAGGGGTACGCTCTCAACTTCGGCCCAAAAGCTGTGCCAAGTTAGCCCGCACTTGAGGGTTTTATATACTGGGAAACCTCCTTCCCCTGCGGGATGCATTTGATTATAGTTATTCTTCATTTACCATATTTCTCATCTACCTCCATGCCACAGGGGTAGCCACCAGCTACTATTATTTTTGATTTTTGTAGGAGCTTATTCTTCTCATCACTGGCTACCACTTACGTCTCCCATGAGCATTCAAATCCAAGCTTGACTCAGTCGTCTATTCAAATGGACGTTATCCATCTTCGTCAATTTATATTCCTTCTTATTTGGACGACAATAGCCCCCATGTCTTACGGCTACAGCTTTACTTCCCACCAAGCCACATCTGAAAATTGGGGTGCACGGTATCGCGTCGTAAAACGTGAGATGGAAATTATCCCAGGCAGCGTCGGCGATGTTGAGACAGATAGAGATTGGGCTCAATCTAGCGGTGGATCTTTCAACATCTCCCAGGGTGGCATAATCGCAATAGTTGTGATTGTAGGTATCGTTGTTATTCTAGGGTGTAAGTGACAACATCAAATAAAATTCGGGCCTATTCTCGTTGGTGGTTAACACGGTCCTAGTAACATCCGCGATCCTCTTCTATATTGCTAAGAAGCGATCATGGGAAGTTCGTGCCTCAATACGCCGATCAGCAAAACGCCTTGCGGCACCAATGACACCACGACGATTTTCAACCGCGCCCAGTTCAAGTAAACCAAGGAATCGCGACGTATCCATGCGCATTCCTGCTCAGGATACGGACCCAAACCAGAAGAAGCCAAAAGAAGCTTCACAGCAGATTAAGTCCGATGGATCCACCGACAGGCGGGGACGGGGGAAAGAAATGCTGCCGCCGTTCGATAGGGATGTGGAAAAGGCAGTTGATGCCAAATCACCCACAGGCAAAAGCGAGTTTGAACCTTCATCGCCACGAGGATGGAAGAAAATGGTTCCCTTTGGAAGTACTCGATGATATGCCACCCAAAAGGGCAGGCAATGTTTGTTTTATTTAGATTGTTTTTGTCTCAGCAAAATTCGATATTTGGGTAATAGGCGCTCAGAACGAGGAAAGCTTGCACTCTGCGTGTTATGTTTGCTTTATTTATTATTGTTTGATATGGTTCACTCTAATTTTGTGCACCCAGGAGGCAGCACAGGCACCGGCTGCATGCACCAAGTTGTCCCAAGCGCCATGCATGTTTCAGACATGTTGATGATGAAAATAACATCCGCATGCAGCCATGATTTCATTATTATTGTCTCTTCGTATTCTCGTTCCTTGAATTGGTTTTTTTACCTCCACATCTTTCCTAATTTAGTCTCTTTTCCGTTTTTCTTTTTCTTTTGCACTTTGCCGCGTCTCTATAATTCTTCCACACTACACTGTCCATAGACTTGATTTTCTGGTAAACTTTAATTCCTCTGGCCAACTGATAAGTGATAAGTTCAATTCCGTCACGGATCCCTCTTCAAACCCCTCAGGCTCTGAAAGTATGTGGAGTAAGGGGTACCTGGTTTTTTACTTTCACTGTTCCTTAGATTTCTCTACTGGTAATAAGTGTTGTCAATTTGGGATACCTTAATTCGTACGGCGCAAGACATGCCCCAATTTGGCTTGGATATCGTCTCCTACATTTAGACTGTATCTCCCTTAAATTCGTATCAAATGGCCTCAGCTTCGGATCTGATTACATTATTTCTCTCCAGAATCGATTTCAGCCTCATCGGTTTCTCCGACGTTTCATTCACAAGGGATATCGATGACTGCTCTCCCTGATCGTTTATTTGATTCCTTGCATTTCTCTCTGCCAAGCTACTCCCCCGACCGATTCATCAGAGTCTTATCTCCTTATATTCATACATGTATGTGCAACCGAGTCAATCCCTTAACCGTATATTTAAATGCTGCCGCCGTGTTATTGGCATGAGGGGAGAGTTTTCTCTGTCTTCCTACACTGCATCTCATGCGCCAGGGTCACATTCATTTGCCCATTTAGATTTTCTGTACCATACATCTCATTGATGCATGATGCGCACGGCACAGTTCATCACATTAAATCATAGTTGTAACTCGGGGCGGGTTAGCTAAGAATAGTAACAACATCGAAAACGTGCGCAACGTCGGTTCACAACAGCATGACGCAGTCTCGGTCTGAGGGCATGCATCGTTCTAGCTCGGTGGCCAAAGTGAATGTTGAATTTACCTGATGGGAGTTGCTTTTCATTCTTTGGACAACAGATACATAATGTAGTGGCAGTTCTGGTCCGGTCCTGCGCTTTGACCTCGCTAGACAATAATGGAGCAAAATTCAGGAGAATGCACGGCATACCTTATTTATGCATCGTACCGTAACCGCATTCTCATCTTTGGGCAACATAGCCGGTTGTTTGGCTTCCTCACGCTTATTTTTCTTTTCCAGTTCTCGGCTCGAAATACTCAGGACAATCCTGAGCTTCTCTAAATAAGTTAGTTACTCACCCCCTAACGCCTTTCTCAGCCTTACATGAAGCGATGATGCATGGCAGTGGAGCCGGATGCTATTCTTAGGATCACGCTAAACCAGGGACGTACTAGCGCGTAAACGACCTGAGATTGCTATCAGCCAACCTCAGTTCGTTGGATTCAACAACACCGTCAACACCGCGACATTGATCGGTCATTGGTAATGTACTGTTGCAGGTCCAAATTGATGATTCAGTGGGCTACGACGGCTTAGCCGGGCTGCGATTGCGATTGACATGCCAAGGATTTCATTTCTGTGCTTATTTCTCTGAGCCTTGATGGAGCTCCTCATAAGCAATTATTATTAACCCGCATCCAAAAATAACAGCAAATGTTCATCACGCACTAGAGAGGCGCACTCCCGCCGCCTCACAACGCCCCACTCTGGCCTAGGTACGTTTTGGAAGCTCTTTTTGTGCAGCCTGCTCGATTAAAATGGCGCATGTGCGCTTGATTTACGACTCGTCTATCCTTCACCCACAGCTGTCCAACGAAACAGGGATTGTCTAACGAATGCACAAACGGGTGACAAATGGATGCTGGTCACCAATATAAAAAGTACAGGTCAAGAAATGCAGCTTGTGCGTCCCTCTTGCGTTCTGGGGGAGATTTTCATAAGCGGGCTGAGGCACTTTGTCGCCGATCGTAGGCGAAGCACAGGGATTCTGCTTCGAGCTGGCTAGCAGTGATTTCAGCAGCTTTATCGGAATTCAACAACCAACTCGGGACGACAGGGAATAGCACCAACCCCCTCGTCGCTTGAATGGGATGGAACTTGCGCCAAAATCAATATGTGATGGTGTTCTGGACCGCGAAGCATCATGTCGACTAGGAATAACAACCCCGTCTGTTCGGGAAAAAAAAAATGGAAAATAAGAATGTTGATGCACGCGGGGACAGGCTAACAATCTTTAGCTGCCCAACCGACAGTTTTAGTACAAGATGCCACAGTTCCACTGCGGCTTGGCCGCTGAAATCCGCGTTAGAGCCAACAGGAATGCTTCCAGGGCAGTGTTCTATTGGACCCTGTTCCCGGACTTGGAAATTTGCTGTCAGTTTTTGCGTAACACCAGCCTCCGCGAACCTCATGGGGTGTTAATAAGAATAGCTGACGTTTTCCCTCCTTTCGTTTCCGAACGAAAGCATTCGCTTTTGCCCGCAGAATCGTCCTATATGTCCGTTCACTTCACTCCATTCATGCTTTTCATTGACTAGATCTCTTGGTTATGAAACTCTCCTTGATGCTTTCAACACATCGAGGCCAGCAGTTGTTTGTTTATTGACCTTCGTCCGGCGTTTTTACCCCAACTACATACTGCATGCAATCATCCTACCCTTACAATGTCCTCAAGCCATCACGATGAGCTACATTTCATTCCATTACATACACGATCATCAAGCTATTTATCCCAACCTAGTAACAAAAATTCATACCAACCTGTGCCTTCTTCATCAGACCCCGTCGACAGGGCAGTCTCCCCACCAATACCTTACCAAGACAATGGAGACACTCCTGCTTCGCAGGCAACCTCTACCTTTGGCTTAGGGATAGGTGACCGCAATTCTTTACCCCACGAGTCCAGCCCGGAAATCAGAAGAGATACAACCACCTCATACAACCCTCTACTAATGGGCCATAGTCCTCCGCAGGCCAGCACAGGCAGCACCCCGACCATTAACAATGGTAATCCGGGACGTGCCGGCCCGCAAAATTTCAATTGTCCCAGTGCTGGGAGTGTTCGTCACAGGCGCATGTCATGGCTAACAATCACCATATTGGTGCTTGCATTTTATTCTACCGCGCTATCTGGATTGTATATGATCGTTGCTTTTATTAAACCCAGGTATGGCAGCAGGATTGGGAAGGGTGGGTTGGCCCCCGATACAGCGTCACTTTTAAGCGCGCTATTTGCCAAAACCATCGAACTGTCGTTCGTCACCGTTTTTGTTGCGTTTTTAGGCCAGGTCCTGAGTCGGAGAGCAATCACGAAACGGGCAACAGGAATATCCATTGCGGATATGTCGATGCGTGGCTGGATTATGCAGCCAGGCAGCCTGATAACGCATTGGCAGCATGTCAGGCACTCCGGCCTCACTGTTATTGGGATGATAGCCCTGACCGCCACATTGATGGCTTTGCTGTACACGACTGCGGCGGATGCATTAGGTATGGTTTAGTCCTATCCTGCTATTTCCAACAGGCTATTAACACGCTGCTTCTAGTTTCGCCAAAACTTAGCTACAGCCCAGAAGAGCTCGTGGATTTCACAGGAACAGTGAAAACGAAGTTCGCAAACGTGCCGTACCTGTCAGACGATTGCTTAACCCCAATCTCCAAAGAAGTGGATCCAGAAGCTAGCCAAAGCACTTGTCTGCAGCTGTCCTATGTTGGGCAAGCCTACCACAACTACAGGGAATATATTTCGGAGTGGTCTTTGTTATCCAGAAATGGTGAGAAGGCTGGAACCGATATGAAAAATCGCATAGTGCCAGCCGGCACATGGAATGATAATACGACTCTTCGTGGGAGTTGGATCCACGAACAAGATATAATCGAGTCGTCTAAAAAGCACGGAAGAATGGTCAATAATGTCACTGCAGCGATGCCGCATGCTGGGATCATTGCAGCTTCGCGACATCCTCGCAATGCACTCAGGCAGCCAAGTGACTTCAATGGCCTTGGTGAATTTGAGCTGAAAGCCTCTGTTGTTTCACCTGTTGTTAACGTGCTCTGCGCGGGCTTGACGAAGGAGGAAATATCACCTCTTGTCTACAATGAATGGCCTGGAGTTCAAGGAAAGGTTAACGTTTCGACTTGGAATAGTGATCCTCCAGAAGGGCTCTGGGGCGAAGGGGGGACATACAACGAAACTGCTGTTGACGATATTTTCGGGTTCAGCGAACGCAAACTTCCACCCATCTTTCCAAAATTGCCACTTCCGCACAACACGCTAGTGAATGGCACTTTGAGGTTCCATATTAGGGACTCGTTGTACATTCTACTTGCTTCTCCGCCATACATCACCGACCCCCCCTATGCCCTCTGCGCCATCAAAGCTGGGCTAACGACGCAATGCTCGACAAAGTACCAGGCAACCGCCAGCGGCGGTAATCTCGCCGCTATATGCGATGAGCCAGACGATGACTTTCGCTACAACAAGGACAGAAATGATCTTCCTTCCATCGAGTGGGACGAGAACTGGGAAGATATGAGCACCGAATGGGCCAATTCCCTCAGTCTCGGCACGGGCATTACAGACGGATACGCTAGCAACACTCGACTACTCACCCAACTCATTCCCCCCTTAGATCCTAATTCCGACACATATTCCCTCAGCGAGACCATACCGTCAGTGGCCGAAGCATTCGCCGCAATGGCTGCCTCAACCCTTCTCATGTCCACGGAAGGTGCCAACTTCGATCTCGAGCGCCCCGATCTAGAGAAACTCCCCATGGATCATACTTTTAAAGCCTCCCTTCGTGTCACTGATTATGCCTCCGGCGGTGCCCAAAGGTGGCAAGGCATTTTTTATGTGGTGCTCGTGCTCGTCTTCTTGACAAACCTAGTGTGCTTGGGCTACATGTATCTAGATATCAAGGGTGAGCAGTTGACGGATTTCACGGAGCCGCAAAACATGTTTGCCCTTGCGCTTAACAGCCGTGGCAGCTCGAAGTTGAGTGGTGCGTGCGGCATAGGACCTGTTGGGAAGCAGCTGTCGGAGCGCTGGATCATTGGTATGGAGGAGGACACCGAACATTATTACATCACCAGCAAGACGGAGAAAGCGGAGCTGCGGCAGCGAGAGCTTGCGGAGGAGCACTTGAAACCCACGGACAGTCCGGCGGTTAAGGAGTATCGGCGCATTTCGCGTAATAGGAGTTCGATTTCGATTTTTCATTGATGATCTGGGTGTTTTTTTCTCCAGTCCGTTTCGGATAAGCTGGTCTAGCTACCTTTACAGCCAATTGGGTTTCCTGTTTGCTTTTCGGCGAATCGTTACGATGATCGTCTTATATCCTACCCTGGCTTTGTGCGTTGGAAAGTGAGGGCAGTTTTCGGTTTCGGTTTTAATTGCTATTCCAGATACGTGGTCAACCTTCCGTCACACTAAGGCAGTTTTCTATATACCCACCCACCCAGTCTTCCATAAAAACTTCCACGTTAATGATCAATATAATGATACTTTTATTACAAAATATATGGAGTTGCAGAAAAACCCACCTAATATATCTGGCGTACAGTCAACGATTAAACCTTAAAGGTGAGAAGACAAACTATGGGAGTTAGTAGGATCGAACGATGCCAAATGCCAATCCAGGGGAAACCCGGCTGCGGCATACTCTTGGAAACAATAAACTCTAGGGACACACGACACAGTGAAAGTACTTAAAAATGGATAATAACAGATATCTAAAGGTATTGATCAATGTACAGTACAATTATGAGAAAACAAGTAGAAAAGATGGGAAAATGCAAAACCAAACATGCAAAAAGCCCTCCACCCCTAGCCTAGGGAACATATGACATGATACAAAAGAACAACCCAAGAAACCCAATCAATCCGACAGACCCTTCTTGAATCAATAATACTCCTCGAGATCTCCAAAGGATCCCAACTTGTCGCTCTCACATTTAAACTCCGGCTCATATGCCTTCTTCGGTAGAATCCCAGCATCGAGTCCCTTCTTATAGCTCCACTGCACCGCCGTCTCTGTCTGCCATGTCCAGTAGAACCATCCGTACCCCCTTTCAAACGCATACATCTGCGCTTCGGCGTACATCCGCAGATATTTCTTGTATGAGTCGGAATAATCGGACGGGTCTGCATTGGCCTGGTCACAGGAGCAGGGTGGGCCCTCGGCGGCGGGATCATCAGGCGGCCACTGGGTCGGACAGTGCGGTTTCATGACTCGGTCCTTAGCCTGCGGATGATCCATGGTACCGAGCCAACGACTGCCGACGTTAACGTTGTTGAGGAATTTGGCGCAATCGGTGTCAGCCTGGGACCATTCTCCGCAGATTGTGGGGCCCCAGCTATAAAAAATTGGAGAAGAGATCAGCTTGAAAATTCTGCATGGGGGGGGATATATCCGGTAAAAGCGCAGTCAACAGATAAAGCTTACCCTGTACCCTTTGTGTTTGACTTGGCAATCAGCTTAACCCAGCTCTCACACACGAAATCCAACTTCTTACGATGCGGTAGCCCAATCTGACCCGTATTAAAAACCGTATACTGATGCGTATCCAGCATTAGATTATCGTCTACATCCTGCATTATCGTTTTCCACTTCTCAAGATTAAGGAACCCATCCGCAAACGCAATCTTCGCGTCTTTCAAACCGCTCTTCCTAACTATCGAAATCGCCTTCGTATTCCAGTTAATAACAGATTCAATATCAAGCTTTAACATCATCGGCTCGTTCACTAAACCATATATTGTAACCACATTCTTATACCGCTCCTGCGCGAAGAATGTGGCCAATTGTTCGTGGATTTCGTGCGTGCGATCGCCATTCTTGGCGCCATCGGCGCCTTCCAGCCAACCGATGGAACCCTGCCGGCCGCTGTGGTTCCATCCGTTCTGACTACCTGGAGCGCCATGCATGTCGAGCTTGACACGCAGTCCGTACTTCCTGCAGTATTCAATCGCCCGGAGAAGATAGCGCCAGCCAACTCTCTCGACGTAAGGATCGTCGTCGTAGGTTTTAACGAGCCAGTAGGAGTAAGGGATGCGGACATGATCGAGCCCAGCATCTCGCATCTCCCGAAACGACTGCTCATTAATGAAAGTCGCGTAGTGCTTTTCTAGATACTGGGCCGCATTGGGTGCAAGCTTCTTGCTGAGTGTGTATTCGTCAACAATGTTATCTTTGTAGGAATAACCACTGAAAAACGAAGGGGTGATGAAGGGTTCGAGAGAGAGCCAGCCGCCAATATTGACGCCCCTGATCGGCTGTTTGCCGTATGGGAACTTCTTGTTCAATGGAGGGACGTTCTTGTTTGGTTGGGCTGAGTCGTCCCAAGATAAGTTCAGGCCCATGATGGGAAGGCCACCGACGGTTTCAGCAGTGTATGTGACATTCATGTCCGCCGTGTCATACCATGTTCGGGGGTCGAAGTACGTTTTCTTAGCGCTTTCCTGCAATAACTAAATATCAGCCATCCATCTGTCCCCTCCGGACACGACTAGAAAGAAAAATATCAAACTGGATCTTACCGGGAGTGTATCTGGGTCAAAGTTCTCCAGCTCAGTCCTTGGTGGATGTGGTTGGGAACCTGGACCGCTCGGGTTATCCCCCGAGTCACCACCAGCACCCTGGTCGCTGTTCTTATTTTTTGATACCACAACGGCAATGGGGATGATAATAATCAGGAACAATGCCAACACTCCAGCAGTGACCCATAATTTTTTCTTCTTGCTCCAACCAGCAAATCCACTCCCTCCCCCATCATCACCCCCTCCGCCTCCACCTCCTTTTCTTTCTTTCTCATCCTTCCAGGCGCCGCGCCCCCCACCCCCTCTTGTCCTCAGCTCCGGACTCCTCCCCTCCTCCAGAAAAGCACCAGAAACCAACCTCCTCCCGGGCCATCCCTTACCCTTCGCCCCTTTTTCAGCCGAAATATCCCTCTCCCTTTCCCTAGCCTCTTCCCTCCTCCTCCTTTTCCTCTCCTTCTCCAACAGAGCCTTCTCCTCTTTCGCTGCCCTAGCCTTCTCCGCCGCCTCTAATTTCATCTGAGCCGCGTTCAACTTCGCCAGCGCATCCACGCTGAGCAATTGTGTCGCACTATTCGCCGAATCGGTACTAGCATGCTTATGTTTATTACTCCGCGCCCCCTTTTCCCTCGGAAGATATTTATCTGTCTCCCTCCTCCTCCTATCCCTATTCCTCTCCCTTTCCCTCTCCCGATCCCGATCCGTGCCAACCCCACCGCGGACCTCACCATCATCGTCATCGTTCAATCCCCTTCGCCTCCGGTCCCTGACACGCCCCTTCGTCGGACTATGCTCGTCCGCCGTACTGTCCCTCCGCCGTCTTCCCTCGCGATCCCGCTCACGATCTCTTTTCTTTATAGGCGACGTTGCAGGCGATTCTTTAGCTTTATACCTCGAATCCCTGATTCCAGGATTATACGTATTCTCAACACCCCGACTTCGACTGCGCCGCCTCTCGACGCGGACCGGACTGGGTCTGACATTCGGTGGGCGCGCAGAGTTCGGCCGCGAGTCGACAACTATGACAGCTGATTCCGAATCGTCACCATCGTCATCGTAGTCGTGGTTGTGATCGTAATCTGTGCGACGCGCGCGCCGCTGTGGGTGTTGTGGACGTTGCGATGCGTACTGCTGGGTTCGACGAGCCGGTGTGGGGCGAGTTTGGGCGTGGGAAGAAGAATTTCGACGGGGTTGTCTGCTGCGTCGCCGGTCGTCAAACACATCATCGTCATCATCGTCGTTATCATGCTGGATATCATTGCCGTGGTCGTCGTATGCATCAGAGATATATTCGTAGGTATCGTGGGTGTTTCCGCGCTCGTAGTGGTACTGTCGTCGATCACGATCTCGAGAGCGGTATTCACCCCGCTCTCGTTCGCGCGAGTGGTGAGGCATGCATGCGACTTGTGCTGCTGCTGCTGGCCTCTATATTTAACTTATGTATTTATGCCTAGCTTTCCCAACAGCCAGTGTCTGAATTGTAAAAACGAGAGCAGGTATATCTTCGCCTCGCAGGCTCCAATCGCGAAAACCGAAAACCGAAAACCGTATCCCGCGAACGAGGCGGTCGTAATATCCTCCACAAAACCGAACAGCCTATGTTTCCTTATCCAGCATCCCCAAAGGTAAACAGGAGTGAGAGTGGACGATGCGCTCCTCCCGCGCAGCGGAAACGACCGACGAAGTTCCAAAGCGGGGACGTTCGCGCTTATCCAACTCGGTCCAACCCAACCCAACCACAGTCCAAATATCCCACAGTCCGTTCAATCCCACGTCCACCCTCAATTCGGCCTAATTCAATGTCGTGAACGGCGGCGCGACGTGGGTGGGGTGGTGCGTGGTAGTTCGCGACGTGTACGTCGGCCGTGTTAAATATTCGGCCTGCCAGAACACCAAGCGAACGGATACAGGAGTAAGAATGTAGGTAGATAGCTTGAATAAGCCGCGCGATTTAATTGATATCTGGGATTCGTTGTTTTGTTTGCTGCAAAGGTAGTAAGCAAGCAAGTGGTATTAATTGCCCATGAATGTGCGGGCTTGCGTGAGTCGGGTTCGGATTAAATAAATATCGAAGGATGAGCAGCTGAAAACAGACGGGCGCATTCAACCGAGAGTAAGAAATTTTCAATAAAATATTCTTTCTGTATAAAAGAAAATAGCCAAGACAGAACGTAGAAGGGATAAATATAACAGATTCTATTTACTTGAATTCTAAGACACATGTAAGTTAAGTAAATAGTTACTTTGCAACAAGATTGGACGATTCCTCACAACCCTTGCTTTGGTATTGCATCACTTCACTAACTACTACTAATAAATACCTATCATACACACTACTGGCCAAGTTGCGCATAGCCGAAAAGAAAAAAAAAAAAAAAAAAAAAAAGTCATTCCTGCACAATAAATTGAATAAATCTAAATTTTGTAACTCTAAACCTGTGACAGGAGACACTCGCGTAGTAACATCATCATCTTTACCTTGATTGGCGGCCGGAGCATGGTTGCCGTAGCAACGGAGCATAAAATATACATTCCACAGAACCAAAAACAAGCCACCCGTGGGTCAGGAACAGAATAATAGATATGTGTTGCATAAACTGCTATATGATGATGGTATCCTAAATCCTCTTCTATCGTACAAGTACAATATAAGTTGGCTCGCACAGTAGAATAATAGTATATCGCCGTGAGGGCGTATCAAATCGACGAAATCTTCCTAGCTAATGTAGCTTTCTATTTGAGGGCATGGGTTAAATGGGGAAAGAAAGGACTATACAGAGTATAGTGTTGAAGACTGCGTTTAGCCACGCGAGCTTGAGCGTAGGACCAAGAAAATAGTGTTCGAGTGCAGGGAAAAAGGGGGAGGGGAATAAGATGATAAATTCACTGGTTTACTTGAAACAAGATGTTAATCCTCGGCAGAAAAGAGAGGAAAATGTTGGGAAGCACAATTGAAGAACAGAGGTTTTAAGATAGGAGATCATATTCAAAAATCAGCATTAAAAATCAAAATTAATCAAATATACGACGGGCAACAGAAATGGGGTATGTAATGCAGGTTATGTTAAAAGATAAGGGAAACCCAGAGAAGAAAACCTCCAAAACCGACAAGCCATCCATGAATAAATCAGTTGTGAGTGATGAAAAATAGAAAACGGTATTAGTAATGGAAAATGGAAAGAGCACAAAAAGCCAAAAGTCATCAGAGAATAGTAGGGGGAAAAAAAAAAAGAAAGAAAGAAAAAAAAAGAAAGAAAGGAAAGGAAAATTAAAAGGAAAATATGACACATGCCTAAAAAGGGGAAAAGGAAGCAGAAAAATTAAATAGCCGGCCTGCGAATGCATTTATAAAAAAGACATGCCAACAGATGGGGGGCTCTTGAGCGGCGAGAAAGGGGGTTCCCTTCGCACCCCATGTGCGGGAACGAATGTGAGCTGGTTGTGATTGCCATACCCTGCCCTGAATTCATTCAGGGAACTGCTCTATTGCCAAGTGATTTGCATTGGTTCTTTTCCAATGTTCCTTTCGGTTCAGGCGACCCAGCGTTATAACGTCCTCGGCAACGGTCCAGAATGAAGGGCTTTCGCAGTCATTGGCGAAACACTATTCAGCGGCACTGCGTTGGGTGTTCTAGGTTGCCAAAATCACGAATGGAAGTGTGTGTTCGATGTCAAATAGGCAGCGCTTGGTTGCCCATTAGGCTAATATTCAACCGTCTCGTAATGGATAACTTGCAGTTCGCAGCAATTCAACGCATAGTGGGAGATGACAGGCAGTCCTCTCCACCTCATCAGAATGCCGTCATTCTTAGGTTAGTATGATAGCAGGGTTCCCTTTCAGACCAGAATGTTGAACGGCGAGTTTTGGATCCAATGCTTCGGTGGTTGAACTTGTTGAACACCCAAAGTGTCATCATATTCCCATTCTCATCGCCAAAGCGTATCACCATAAGAACGTGGTACAAGTTGAAACAAACACGAACCGTGCAGCATTTCGACAGCAACTCCCAATGGGACATCCCAAGGCAAACAGCCCTGTTTGTAAAAAATCACAGCTCAAACCTCCCAACTCCATTTTCCACCCAAAGCCTCAATCCCATTCATATCGTGCTATTTTGAGATTTCCATCATGATCCCCTCGTTAACCGTCAACTACTAATAATCTGTCTCGCACCCTCCTTACCAAGCACACCAGGCTCCATCGGTTTGGGGCTGCGTTCGCGGCCCTTCTTGCGGGTGAGAAACGAAAGCATCCCACTATTGGATCCGGAAGCGGCCCGGGCCTTATTGTTTTCTCCACCCTCATATCCGTCCGCTAGAGACGAGCTGTGATCCGCAAGATTACTCCAGCTTCCTGTCTCTTCTAGCACCATTTGTACGCCACCTCCTTTGCTCATATTACGGGTCGCACCGCGGGGGAGTTGAGGGCCCGGGGGTGGTGGTGGACGGTACGGTTGGGAATGTACTGGTGATGTGGGCACAGGCCGCGAGCGTCTTGGAGGAGAACCAGATCTTGCTCCACTCTGATGCCTATTTGGTTCGTATGGATAACGATCGGATTCGGGAAAGGAACGAAGCGTGTCGGAAGCGTTTGATCGACTAAGAGACCTTTCTGTATGGAGTGAAGGTGAACCACTTACTGAGCGGGGCTGGGAGGGGTTTCGTGCGTGTGATTGGCTGGCAGCGGTGTGGAGGCAGTCCTCGGGGTTACTAATACGACAAAATGAGTTCACGTTAGGCGAAATGGAGAAAGGGGAGTGGGAATCTAACCTAGAGGCCGCGATTGCAGCTGCAGCGGTACTATTGGGGTTGTCAGCAAAGTTACGCCAGGAGTTCGAGGGTGAAATAATAACATACCCTTGATAAGAGACCGTTGTGTAGTCGAACGGCTCAAACATGGTCTCGATAACCCGATGAAGTTCGTCTTCTCGTATTTCTTTCGCCGTAGCATCGTCTTTCAATTCTGCTCTTGGCTTTTGTCGACGGGCTCGTGCTTCCAATGGCGCCTCTTCTAGGAGTAATTCTTCGAGGTCGTATGTCGCATCAAAATTCGTCTTTTCGCTGGATGGTACGAAGATGGGGAGAATCTCTTTCCGTTCCAAGGCCCCAAAATCAATATCTTCAAAGAAAGGATGATCCTCAAATGTTTCAAAGCCGGTCGCGCCTATTCGTTTTGACCGGTCTTTTTCTAGAAGAGATGCGATCGCGCGTAGACAGGGCACCGTGACTGCAGGATTCGTAACGTAGTATTTTGGTTGCGCTCGTCGAATGTTTTCCGATAGAGTGTCGTGGCTCCGTCCCTCGAATGGGCGCTGCATCCTGTTAGCAATGTCTAATCAGATATTAGATGTCAAAATATGTATCTTACCTTGTTATAAATGCACTCGTAAAAGGTGACGCCCAGGGACCACCAGTCGACTTCGTTCAGATATCCTCCCCCCTCGAAAACCTCAGGCGCCAGGTATGCTAACGTGCCCGATTTGCTTGTAAGTGGTTTTGATGGTTTAAAGTCTGAAGCAACATTCTAAATGGCAATTAGATCCAATTCTAGGTTTTCTGCGTTGCACGAATACTACTCACAAAGTCTGCCAAGTGAACATGTCCCTCGGAATCCAACAGAACGTTATCCGGCTTTAGATCACGGTGGATTATGCCTTGTGAATGTATATACCTCAGGGCGCATGCCAACTCAGCAACCCAAAATCGCACAGCGTCTTCCGTGAAAGTTTTTCTTGATATATGGAATCGAAGGTCCCCTCCATTCATTAAGTCTACCACAATGTATCTACATAAAATTAGCATATATTTCCTGCTATGCTATGATGGCATAATCGGTGCAATCGGACAGCTTACATGTACTCGATGTCCTGGAAGGAATATCTCAAGTTGCACAGGAACGGGTGGTTCAAATGCTCCAGCATTCGCCTTTCTCGTATGATATTTCGAACGCTTTCGGACCGGACAACTGAAAATAGCCGATATAAACATCAGAATTTGGCAGACAGAAGGGTTATCCGCATTAAAAGCCTACCTTCATCTTTCCGGATGTATTTTAGAGCGAATGTTAAACCACTATCCTTGCGTTCAACGATCCGTACTTTACCAAACGCACCCTTTCCAACGACACGCAGCAAACGGAAGTGGTTTAAGTTGACTGTGTAGGAATGCCAATGAATGAGTTCCTGTTAAAATGCACGGAACGGAGATAGTTGAATAGATAAATAGTAGCAGGATGGTGAACGAACCTGCATCTGAATAGCACACCTGCTTCCCCTGGGAATTGCCCATTGCGATCCGGAAAAGAGCTTAGTTACTAATATCCCAATTCCAGCCTACTGTTGACCCTGCCTGCATCACCAGCAATAAACGAAATCCCGAGACTTGAACGGGTCAGACGGATTTTGCGAGCGCAGACGCAGACGATTGGTCTAGTTTGTCGAGTGGCGGGTATTTCAGCGGGTGTGCTTTCTCCGATGAAGTGTGTAGGGAAGGCTGGAGGAGAGCGGAGAACGAGGAGGTGGTGAACGCGAAAAATTGAACTACAATCGTGTTCGCTGGTTGTTAATAGAATGAAATTGACAATCCATCAACGATTCGACTATGACGAGCAACGGAAAGCAAGATAGTAAACAAAACAGGCTGGAATGTGCGCCGGTGGACGATGGCTAGAGAGGACTCTCTCGTCAGGTATGTGGCAACGTCCACGCTATTCAAGGCATAAATGAGTGCGGGGGGGGGGTGGGTCTAGGAAGAAAGAGGGATTCAAGAGCAACAGCTCAAATTGATCCAGGGACAGGCCTCATCCGCTGGGTAGAATATGGCGAGGTGTGAAGAGAACGAGGAAGGCTGCGAGGCTAGACTTGGAGATAGATGGCGACAAAGACTTGGAGCAAGGGGATGTTGGGATGTGCTTACCCTGCGACCACGGAAGGATGAAGACACGGGGAAAAGAAGCCAAGGCGCCGTCCCTGTTAGATTCGCAAGGTTCTTTGGACTACCAGATCTCGATTGACTAAACTAAAACTGGTGGAAAAAGGCGTGGAGAGGAGGAGCCCAGAGAGAGATAGAGAGAAGTCAGAGAGCTAGTGAATACAGCGTAGAGAGACCTTCGCCAGCAGCAGCTCTTGTTTCCCCCGGACAGTTGGATATCCCAGTTTCCTGGATCGAATCGGGAACAATTTGCCTAGGACTGAGAAGACAAATTGCATTCCTCTTGGGGGGGGGGGGGGGGGGTGAAGGTGGAAAATGGGTGGGAAAAGAAGGGGGGGGGGAGAAGGGGGGGGGAGAAGGGGAGAAGGGGAGAAGGGTTAAGGGGATGAAGGTAAATCAGTTGATATAAATTATAGAACACAAGCTAGCACAAGTATCTCTGGCAGTCGAGAGAAGAAGTTGGATACACAACGAGAAAAGAAAAGGGGACAAGATGTTGGCTGAGAAGAATAACGTTGGTGTTGGTGTTGTTGTTCTTGAGCTGGAGGAGAAATAAGGAGACTTATTTGCTGGCGTGGATGATCGTGGTGAAGACACACGCTTGCTGGATGCTCGCTAGTAAAAACGTCGCTATGATGATACAGCAACCACGAGCCCAGAAGTAATATAGCAAATATAGCAGAGCTCTGCTTAATGCCCTTTGATGATTCTTTTTTTTTTTTTTTTTTGTTGTTGTTGTTGTTGTTTCTTTCTCTTTCTCTCTGTCTGTCTGTCTGTCTGTTATCGATTGAGCTGGAAAAAGAAAATATACGAAGAACACAATATTAATAATAATAATAATAGATGCTTGCATGTTCATGTGTCTTTTCTTTTTCTTTTCTTTTCCTTTTTTTGCCTTTTGAAACGCCAAAATATCCTGCAATGCGTTATGTATCGGTTGCATGGTATTGTACCGGTGTGTATGATATCGTATTTTTATGAATTTCTCCGCTTCTCGTCCGTACTGTTTTCTGTTTCCACCCGTATCAGCCTCATCTCTCTATTCTCAATTTCTCATTCTCCCTCGCCTCGCCAATAATACTTTGGCCTCGCTTGAAAATGCATCGCGGGGAAGGCCATGCGGCGTCTTTGGCTTCACCAGAACCAAAAAAAACCTCGCCTCCCCAGTCCCAATCAAACCTGCAGCGAGCTCGCATGGTCTCGCGTGTGGGCAAACTACCTCGTGGGCGCCACGTTTCGAACCGGTTCAAGCCAGGCCAGACCCAGCCCGAATTACTTCAAGCCACAGCCCAATCACCGCTCGCCCCTCAGTGCCACCAGGCTCCAAGTGCTGAAACCGGCCAACCATTAGCCCAACCAGCCCCCGCTCGCAGCCCTGGCTGGACACGCCGAACACTCAGGAAACGCCAAACCAAAAGGGGCGAGAGAAGAAGTCAAGGAGTGATCAAGTTTGGGTCTGCAAACTCTGGGCGGTTGAAGCCAGAATATACGGAGTACAGGTTGGAAGTTATTTCGTTACTTCGAGAATAGCTGTCCAGTTCAGACTTGAATTCTCATCTCATCCCCCGCCCAAAATTCATGATGCCTTGAAAGTTGAGGGCTCCCAGACAGGTCAACATCTCAGCGGGTTGAACTAAATTTGCCAACGATCGCTCAACCCGTCAAGCGGACGCCGCTCCTGTGCCGACAACCAACAATCCCATCCAAAAAGAATGCCCGATGGGCAATCCTGAACAGGGCCGGGAAGCCCATTCTGTGGCAACTAATAATAATAATAGCTCTGGGAAACAGTACTCCGTATTAGAAAATCAATCTCATGCCAGCAACAAAACACCTTTTTTATTTTTCTGTTTATTATTTCTTCCTCTCCTCTGAAACATCAGGCTGGCTGGGTACGCAGCGTACCGAGGCGTGGAGAATAAGTCCTTGCATACACGCTAGAAATTTATATTGAAACAGCAGTACCGGAGTCAAATTGCTCCGCCCGAACCTTCAATGTTTAGGGGCTCAAGCCTCTATTACGCATAGTAGATAGAGACTCAATACGGAGCAGTGTCCGACCAGCTAGATGACGGGCACAACAGGCATCAGCAGAGCCTGGAATCGCCTCTAAACAGTTCTGAAGGGGATGATAAAATCTTTTACCAGGTAAATTACTAGTGTTTGCAAAGGACATATTTTCCACGCGCCTCCGTATGAATAAACGCCTCGATTTAGCCACGGCTGATTAGGCTTGTCGCCGCGCTTCTGAGGAAATGCGCTAAAACCTCACTAATCCAACAGAGACGAAAAGTTAGCGAGACTTGTCCTTCTAATAATAAGTTACCTCTTGCAAAATTCTTTGCTACGTCGTCTGCGCGATCGTCAAGTCCGTCCTTGATCATTCTGGGTTCGCCCTGCTCAGAGCTCCCTGATGATGGCGCCCCAAAGACTGTCGTCATTTCTTAGGAAAGCTTCGTGGTGGGTGATTAATAAGATATTATTAATCATCTGAATCCAAAGGATCATTCATCACTTTGGTAGGTTTTCCCCGAACTGCTTCAATCTTGCTTCAATCAACCCAGTACTCCGTAGTATATTTGCTGGTGGGTTTGGTGGAGATGAAAGTTTTCTCATTATCTAATAATGCACAATTAAACCTCCAATTATACATTTAATATTATCTCTTATGGCGCCCCCATTATTATTGGAATCCAATCACCCAACCTTGAGAAACAACTCGATTTCCTCAACCCCTCTCAGCTGCCACAAAATGATAACATAACTACGCTGCGTACGGCGTAAAGGGGCCGGAAAATATCGCAATACGTCACATTAAACAAATCTATGTCAGATTAATAATAATATTATTATTGCTGTTGTCTCCCTTGTCATGATCGGCAGGGCTAAACTTCTCCCAGCGATACGATACGATACAACCCCTACAACAACAAATGAAGTATAGTAGACTCACTAGAGCCTGGCAGACACGGTGATACGGAATATCTTCTAGAGGTGGAATTGAAGATTTACATTTTCCAGTCAGGCAAAGCTGGGTCTTGGAATTCTTGTTGTTGGGAGATGGATGGGATTTTGGAACTTCTATGAATCGATATAAAGTTCAATACGGAGTACGGCCGCCTTCGCAAAAGTTCGATATCCTCAGACCCAGACACCCTCCACATTTATCACATCAAATCAGGCCAACGAGAACTGAATTTCCCAGGTTACCTATTATTCACAACTGCCATCTGGTTCGGCACTGAACTGGAACCCAGATGAGTGAGCGTAGTCTCATCTCGGGGTCTAAACCCAGTCAAAACCGCCTTGACGCGCCAATGGCCAATGGCCTTTGCATCCGCTCAACCTTTATACCGTGACGATGATGAACCAACCATGCAGGATGGATCCCAGAAAATCCTTGTGGCTAGAGATAATTCGTTGAGAATTGCAGGATTATCCTGAAAAGGTTGCGCTGCTTTCTACCGGACAACAGCAGCACCCAACCCAGGTCAAAGTGCACGAATGTCACCCCTGAGTGATTACAGTGGAACTCATTCCTGGCTTGTTCAACGTTGTACGGCATTTTATTCCGTTTGTAGAAATTCCCTTGAACGCAAGGCGCCTCAACAAACAAGCCATATTTCAGGAACAAAAACTATCAACTGATACGCAACAAATACTTGAGAATCGGAGTCAACTGAATTCAACCACAAATACCTAAGCTGGTTATTTACGTGACACCGTCATGAACGGGACGAAAATAAAATACCAACGAGCGAAGTTCTATGCATCAAACAGGTGCCACCACAGCTGGCCACACACCTCCCGTTCGTTCCCAAAACTCTGCCGTGCCATGCATGCATCCTCAACCATGGAAGGGGATCTGCGAATCCCCAAAAGCAAAAAGAAAATAATGAGCGTGACACGTGTGTGAAGTGGAAAACTGCATGTGCTTATTTTCCAGTCGACTTTTCAACAAAAATTGCCTCTTGGCAGCTTGGCTCACCAGTGCCTCGTTCTGATTTAAATAAAGGAATGACAGAAATTGATGCTCCCAGCCACCACCACGTGGGAAGCTTCTTCTTGGATGGGTTCTTTCTGTCGCTTTCCGTTTCACCAGGGATTTTCCATTTTTGCGCTGTTTTTGGTCTGCCCCTTGTTGTTGGGTCAGCCCTCCCTTTCGCCGTGCTATGATTGGCTTAACTGCCCAAAATACTCACCTCAAACCCCGTTTATCAATTCGCTCAGCTGCACTTTTTAGAGCATGGCAGCTCGAAGCACCTCGTTGGACTTGCAGAGGATGATCCCCACTCAATTCGCTGTCGAGAGTTTCGATATAAATCTTGAGCCACGCGGTTCTTCCTCGGAGAACCCATGCAAAATAAATATCGGCAATTCACTCCCAGGGTTTAAACATGTCACGGCTCGTTTAGACAACATGGAATCTGGCAACCCGAAAGGGATCGGAGAAATTTTGCTGATTGTTTCTGGATGCCATCCCCTCCCTAGGAAGTCCGAATCATTCCTTCGCTCTTTCATCAAGTCAGGCATCCAGTGCTAGCCACCGGATATGGAGGCTCAAAACACACATACCCATCCTCAGGGGCCTAGCTCATTGGATCCATGCACCCTCTCGACACCTTCAGCCCCCCCAGACGCCAATTCCCGAACCTCTGCGGCCCAAAAAATTCTTCCATTGCCGATCTTGCTAGCCACTTCACCGCATCTTGGAGGAACTGCATTCATGCATTATTGGCAATAATAGCGACAGGCCGATCGAATAACTGGAAACAGGGCCTGCGTCCTGCGACATACGACAGACGACAGACGACAGACGCATGGCCTTTCTTCTTGTCACCACTTTTTCACGCGTGGCTTTGAAGTTAAACTACTTACAGCCATAAAAAAAAAGAAAAAGAAAGAAAAAAGAAAAAAGAAACGATTAATACGGCATGTATGCACGCCACAGACTCCATTGCCTCCTTGTCATACCTCTGCCCATGCTGTGATACCTAGTTACTGTATCTGGCTGAAGATCGTCTGTTTCAGTTAGTGAATAAGCCCCAAGTTAACGAGCCGGATGAAAGACGCGCAAAGCGCAAGGGTAGATTGGGAGTTGCGAGAAAGAGAGGGAAAAAAAAAAAAAAAAAAAAAAAAAAAAAAAAAAAAAAAAAGAGAGAGAGAGAGAAAGAGAGAATTATTTCTTTCTCCGTTTACGTGTAGTGTAGCAGTGTAGCACGATGGGCTTAAACAAAGAATAGAAATCCGTAATGCCGTATATAGGGATACTATAGATGAACATCATTATCCAAAAGATACGTACGAATTACGCAATCTCGGGGGTAATAATGGTTTGTTGCAAGGGTCCTCTTTATACAACTATATACTATGTATGTATCGTCGGTGGGTTGCTCAAGGCGGTGCGCCGTAATTATTATCGATGGGACTGCTATAATGAATTTGCCCAGTGTTCCTCTATCAATGCAAATTTCAATCGTGACATCATTAAAATAAACAAAGATACATATACATCACCCCTATGTGACAGACACTCTATTACTCTATCATGTAGTTTGTCATTTTCCGTTGTTCCCAAACAAGCCGCACATCCAGTATGACACGACCAAAAATTGTGATTATAGGCAGGCAAGAAAAGGGGCAATTAAAAGGGGAACCACCTAGCTTCTAGAAGGAATCGAAGGCCCCATAGAAAGGAAGAACAAAACCCCCTTTTGAAAAAAAAAAAAAAAAAAGAAAAAGAAAAAGAAAAAATCAGATCTAGATCATTTCCCATACCCAACAACCATATGCAAAACCATATCCAGCCCAAATCCCACCTAAAGTCGCCAGACATCACAGATATAAATATTGGAAAAACGGCAAAGAGGGCCGCTCAGCATATGCTCTGGCCCTTGTCTAAAGAGCACATGGGCTTCAAAAATAACTGTCTACCCTTCACCACCTCCGCCCATAAACAGAGCTTTCAGGCGTGGGCTGCCGACTACTATTCTTGCTCTGCATAAGCGGAGGCGTCGCTCTTCGACTTTGATCAGACGTGGACACGCCATGAAGAAGCCGATCGTCGTCATCTCTCGACCCTAGCAATCTTGTCTTCCCCGAAAGATCCAGCTTGTGATCATCCTCACCACTGTACCGCGCGCTAGCTTCATGGCTGAAGAGCGCCATCATATCCTTCATGGTGAGTTTGGCGGCGGCGGTCTTGCCCTCAATGGTGGCGTTGGCGAGTTCGCGTTTGCGTTCTTGAAGGTCGACGATACGCTCTTCCACGGTACCCTTGATGGTTAGTTTGTAGATTTTCACGTCGACCGTTTGGTTAAGGCGATGGACGCGGTCAATCGCTTGTTCTTCGACGAACTGTGATAGTCCGGTTAAGTGTTAGCCTAGATTTTGGAATTTTGAAAAGAAAAAAGCTTCGTGGATGGTGGAGACGGATCATACCGGATTCCAGAAGGGCTCCAAAATGACAACTCTGCTCGCAGCTGTTAAATTTAATCCGAGGGAGCCAGCACGCAAACTGCAGAGAAGTACTCTAGTCTTCGGGGAATTGCGTAGCCTATCAAGACTGTGTTCTCGTAGGTCGTTTCTCATCGCACCATCGTAGCGCGCATAGCCAATATGAGAATCCTTCAGGAAGGGTTCGATTTTATTAAGCATAGAGGTGAAGAACGAAAAAACGATGAATTTGTAGTCCCCAGACTCTTTTTTTAGAATCTTCATTAGATGTCTAATCTTTGTCGAAGCAAGATGATCTGGAGTTTCGGGCTCATCATCGCTTTCATCGCCATCAGTTTCGTCCACATCCTCGTCAGAATCGAGATTGATAACTTCCGTTGTCTTCCCTGAGCCGTCTCTAGTTTCGTCTTCTTCATCCTCGTCGGTTTCAGAATCATCAGATCCTAGCCATTCACCGCCACCTTCAGCATCCTCATCATCAGTTCCACCAGTGTTCCCAAGTTTTTCAACCTGTCGTTCACCATCTGGAACAAGCCATTCCCCGTCATCATCTTCGTCGTCACTGTCGACAATGAGACGCTGCTTTTGCAATCGCACTCGACGCACTTCAGAAATCTCAGCGGACGAATTACGATCTGTGGATTCCCGGTGTTTCTTTTTATTCTTTAACTTCTTATCTTTCTTCTTCTTTTTCTTATCGCTCTTTTTCCGAGGGCTAATGGCTTGAGTCTGCAGATCAGCCTCGCATTCCGCACATCTACTCGCGCCACTCGTTGCTTCCTTGGAACTCAGCTCTGCCTGACAAACATCACAAAGTTTAGTCGTGACGCTTAGTCCACCCATAAGATTAGCGATGCTATCAATATCTTCTTCTCCCTTGGCCGTTTTGGATTGGCTACTGCCTCCAAAATTGTTCATCAACACATCTTTGTCTTGAGCAAGGTCACTCTTTACAAGATCAGGATGATTGCACGCCTGGCGGAGACGAAGGAGAAGAACCAATGCGCTTGCATAGTTGATATTGTCGCCGCCAATCATGCGTTCTAGAGTCTTATCAGTCCGCTGTTCCAGCCGTTTGTAAAACGCCCGTTCCGCGGGGGTGAATTCCGCCTCAACTTTCAAGACTTCGCGATTGGTGATTCTGAATCCGTGTGGCGATTCCTTGTTTTCTCCCTTACTGTCAGAGCTTCCCTGACCCAATCCGCCATCCAATTTCAAGACATCTTTCGTCCGACGCTTCATAAACGCTTTGAGATAAACTTGTAGCCTCCGGATGGCTAAGCCGCCTCTCCCATTATTTAATGGTTTAGTGATCTGCTCTCGCCATGCTGCAAGATCATTGTACGGTTTAATACGGAGGAAATTGATCAAGCTCTGTAATTCATCCAGATTATTCTGCATGGGAGTACCAGTGAGACACCACCTATATTCAGATCTCAGTGCACAGGCCGCCTGGGTTGCTTTGGCATTGCGGTTTTTGATGGTATGTGCTTCATCAAGGATAATTCTGTACCAATGGTTGGCGAAACATCCTGTAGGTTTCTTTTCGGAGCTTGCATGCTCGGAACTGAGGGTACCATATGTGGTAATCACAACATCGAAATGCGATAGACTATCGGCGTGTTTCGTTCGCTGAGGTCCATGATATACACAGACGCGTAATCGGTGGGAGTCTGTAACTTTGCTCTCAATTTCGGATTCCCATTGCTTAATCAGTGCAAGGGGTGCAACCACCAATGTGCCTTTCCCAACTTCAGCGGGTATTTTCTTCTGTTTTTTATCTTTGTCCTCCATGGCCTCCACCTTTTCTTTTGGGTGGCGAGGGTTCGTAAGCATCAATGCGATCGTCTGAATGGTTTTGCCCAGACCCATATCATCAGCGAGAATTCCGCCTTTGGGAATCACGCCTCGTGTCTTTTTGACACCAGATTCCTTATCCCTCATCCAATCGACGCCCTCTCGCTGGTGGGGAAGGAGTTTGATCTTCAACCCCTCAACAGTGCCATCGTCTTCTTCCTCCTCTTCCTCTTCCTCGTCTTCTCCCTCGTCAGCGGTCCCACCAACAGCAACTTTCTGAAGCTTACTAGCAAGAGCATTGATCTCGTCCTCAATCTTTTTTCGACGCTGCCTCGTGCGAGGTTTATCATCTTCATCCTCAAAAGCGCCTTCCAACAGAGCCTTGATATTCTCATTTGCCTTTTCTACATCAACATAGCTATAAGCATCCATGGCGCCAATTTCTTCTTCATAGAGCCGGGCGTTTGTCGCAGTGCCAGTAAGATCGATGAAATTCTGCAAGTTGCTTAACGGTCTTGACATCTTCGGCTTTGTTAGAGAGGTGAATATAGGGATGGGAGCAGGTTGCGTGGTGCGATTGTTATTTGACGGCTTAACTATCTCGTATACACTGTCATCGCCTGGTAGCCTTCGAGAATTGCTGTACTCTGATGGCTTTACAGGTCGCAGGGGATCGTATCCTGTATATCTCTGACTCAGGGAGGAAATACTGCCTCCATGCTTTAGGGTCGTGGTTGGTGCCTGGTCATGATTGAGTCGATAATCCTTCCCCTGGAGTTGTGCTTCGGGTCGTGGCGGCGGCTGATGATGTTCTGGGCGTGGCTTATTGGCCTTCGGGATGATGAACGGGTGGCCCTTGCTCTGATGTAATGAACTTAGGGGAGCTGATTGCCCAAATCCTGGCTGCGAGGACTGTCTACTCTGGGCCTTGTCGTTCTTTTCTGCCGGAAGGCCAGGGGCCCGTGGAGGCTCTCGTTCCTTCACCATTGTTACAGATCCTCAGGTCCCCAGATCTTACCCAGACCAAGATTTTCCGGCGGTAAGAAGCCAGTAATTCTCACTGGCCCTGTCAAATTTCCGTTTGTCGTGGAGCCAATACCCTTCTATAATTCAACGCCAACTAACCGGGTCGTTCGTGTTCTATTATATTGACGGTGTGGGCGGATATCTGCTTGGAACATGGGAAAAATAAACGTATTAGTCTGATATCTTGATTTGAGGCAGCCTGGGTATCACACAGGTCCGTGATCTGCAGGTAAAAGATGTCCTTTTAAAACGCGGAACGCGAGGTATATATATTAGGGACAAACCCTGCTCTCGTGGGTGTCTAAACATTTTTCGTACCTTTGCTAGTTCCTGGTAGCAAAAAACTCTAGTATATGGCTGTGAGCATGCCTGGCAATAAATAGTGGAGGTTCAGGCAAACGACCACACGTTGTGGTTGTGTATCTTCTCAATATCTGTCGCCATCGCAGGTGTAGAGCGTTATGTTTTTCTGTGTTTGGATGTACGCAGTATGTCATGGCAACCACAATGCTTAGTCATATACCAAGCCAATTTCTGGACATTCCAAGGTCAAACCTCCGGACCAATTAAATTGCAGTTAGATTATTGGGGGGTGGAACGCTCAGCGGAAACGTTGGAAATATGGCGCCTTCTATTCTCAGCTCTCTGGATTGCGTTAAGATGTAAACTATTGATCCATTTTATCTTTCATCCAATTTGCTGAGCTTCTTTCCCATTATAAACTCACAGCACGTTGAAGTTAGTAGAAAAACGTTCCTACTAGCCATGACCCGCTAAGCACTTCCTAGCTAGGGTAATGCTCTCTTGCGTATTTTGTAAATACCTAGGTAGTTAACGCATCGCTTTAAGGCTGCATTTATAGCATTCATACTGTAGATATATAGTTAAAGTGTATAAAATTAGCTGAATAATCGCCTGCATATACCATGTTTATCCCGAGAAGCAATCCGGTAAGGGCGAAGTGGAACTCCCAATTGCCCATCGTGACGCATATCCAACCTTCGAAACCACAAAAAGAAAGCAAACCAAGGAGCCTGCCATAACCCCGATCACATTAACTTCCGAGGATACGTGTATATTCCTCTACCACTTAGATACCGAGAACGTGAAGCTGTAATGATAGACACAGGTCTAAATTTAAAGGGGGTTTGGCAATCTGAATTCTCAATCAAAGCGACAGAAAACACCAACCTACCAATATATCCCAAGTACATTAGACATCTCCAATAACATCCTTGAAAAGCTCAGGCACAATCATGCTTGCATCGCCCTGGAAAAACCAATCCCCAGGCCGCATCCCGGCTGGAGGCGTGTCGCTACTATCCATATTAATAACTGCCACACGCGCCCTTTTTTCGCGTGCCATCTCCACATATCCCGCAGCAGGGAAAACCTGCGCCGTGGTCCCGATGACAAGCATAAGATCAATCGTATCCGCATCCTCAATCCACTTATCAACATACTCTAGAGTCTTAGTTGGGAGCGATTCGCCAAACCATACCACGTCCGGCCGGAGGATATTGTTCTTGCATTGGGGGCACTGGGGTAGGTCCGCGAATGTGACGCGTGGAATGGGTACGTCTGCGTTGGAGATATCGAGCTCTACGCCCTCCGTATGTGCTGCGGTTGCTGTCTCCCCTGCTGAGGGATGAGGCTCGCCTTTCCATTCCATGGCAGTATAAAGAGACTTGGTAGCCTCTTCGCCTGTCTTGTCGTGTGCGGAGGGGACGGGTTCAGGAGCAGCTTTCGGGATATCAAGTACTGGCACGATGGGGTCATTGTAATCCTCTCTACTGTAATCACAGGAGGGAGAGGCGCACTTTACGTCGAAGAGGGAGCCATGGAGGACGTGGAGTTGGGATGGCGGATGGTTAGCTCGTGTGGAAAGGCCTATGTATTGAATTGTGCGCAACTGTTAACACTCACAGTCACTTTAACTAAGAACATACTCCGTACACAATGTATATGGCATATTAAAATTCCCACATGGTCATACCATCTACATTCTGGGTCAAAGTAATGAAATTGGGATTCCTTCTTGCCAACTCGGCGAGAGCGAAATGTGCTCTATTCGGTTTCGCTTTCAGAGCCATATGTCGTCTATAGCTGTAGAATTGCCAAACGAAGCCTGGATTCGCCTTAAAAGCCCCTGGGGTCGCGAGTGAGCTCGCAGGATAGGACCGCCATACCCCGCCAGCACCACGGAATGTTGGAAGGCCTGATGCAGCCGAAAGGCCGGCTCCAAGAAGGGCCACCACATTTCTAGAGTTCTGAAGATACTCCGAGAATGATCGTCTCTCCGACTCAGACAGGATCGACGGCTGAATTGCGGCAGCCATGCTCTAGGTTTGGGAGGTTTGGGAAGTTGAGGTTTGAAATGCGGGGTTTGGGGGCGGGACACTGAAGCTCAGAGATATATGGAAACAGGCTCTGGTGATATAAGTAGAGGAAATTATTCCTTTGTTCCGAACTACTCTCCTCTCATGAAATGCAGGATGAATGAAGATAGCAAAAATACCAACTGCATGGGACCTGATTCCGAGTTATTGGCATGGAGAAGGGAGGCTGGCTTGGACCTTCTGTACGGATTAGCTCTAGTGGAGTTTGCGGCTTGGCTTGCTGCGATATGTCCATATATGGACGATCCGAGGCCTTTAACTGGTCACTGGTCTGGTTGGTTTAACTAACTAACTCCGCTCCCGTCAAAATATTTATCTCCCAATTTACCTAACAAGACGGTAACTGCCGGCGAAGCTGTGAACTCATTTAGAATCCAGACAGGTTCATACATTTCAATTCAAAACCATTATGAAGGATATTTATTCTCACTCTTAATTGCTGTGGAAGTAGTTATACGTTATGCAAGCCTACCCATTAATCTATACACAGTACGCTGTGGTGTCCATTTCTAGCCCCTATTTACTCCGTAGACTGCCTTCTTGCATATTTATAAACATATATATACCTATGTTTTTTTCTAAAAAAAAACCAACACAACATTAATGTTTCTCTTTCTTTGGCAACCCAGCCACCGCAGCGCCACGAGCATACGCCTTATTCCTCCCATTAACCTTCTCTATAAACCTCTTAATATGCTCCGGAACCTCTTCCACCTCATTCTCCGGTGCGGGAATCGGCTCCCCCATCTCCTGCCAAACAGGTACCACTCCCGTCCATACTCTGCTTGTAAGCTCTTTATCCTCACGGTCGTCCGTATCGTCCGACGGACCACCATCCCTGATCTTCCCACTGCCATCCACAATCCTCACCCGTAGTATCGACGTCGACGTCATTTCTACCTTGTTGGGCGGCACGCGCGTATTATCATAGCGATTCTCCACGACGCCGTCGGTCACTATTTTCATGGCCCAGTGCTTTTCCGCCTCGTCTGTGACAACTTGGGCGTACCCATGCAGTATGGCTGAGCGGTAATTGTAGCTGTGCGAGTTAGGGGTGAGGGAGAGGATGAAGCCATCCACGTGTGCGGCGGAGATGCAGACTGGGAGCCCCGGGTTCTCGCCCTCGCCGTTGGTAGCTCGAGCAAGATTCATGATTCGCGAACTGACGTAGCCATGCAGGTAGCAGTCCAGAGGCTCATTTATGTCTGCGGACGGATATTCGAATGAGCCCATCTGGCCAATCATGGGAAGGACGGCCGGGAATGGATCGTCAGGGCCTGCGGGAAAGGCAACATGTAGGACGGCAGATTCATTGACAATGGAGTGAATTTGGCCCAAGTCGTAGGTTCCTGGATCTTACGTATTAATTGATGGCTGCTGTCGGGGAGTAGAGGTATGTATGAATCTCTGTGGAAATAGGGTCTGTATGGAGGGAAGCCTACCCCGGTGTTTGTACCGGTTCAATGCGCTCCTGGGGAGTTTTGGATAAACCAGTGACTTCCCCATTGTCTCAATTGTTCCAAACCTGGTACTGTGACGCGATGGCGTAGCTTCAAACGTGATATAGGTATATACCCTTCGATATATACAAGAGAGGTAACAGCTGGATAAAGGCACTCTTTTCGGCACGGAGTATCCAAAATGCTTATCAAGGATTGTATAGATTCAGAGCAGGACGGGCTGAATCACGGAAGAATTGGAAACCCAGAAAAGCTGAGGAGACTCTCAGCCTTAAATGTTTTTGCTCGTTTGTGTATGACTCCTCTGGTTGGAGGGGCAAGTCTGGGGCTTGTTATTCCAGGGCTACCACCGGCGCACTTTTTGACAAACTCCGCCACTAATTTTTGACGTTGACCGATGCTTTGCGCCCTTCCACTAGCTACTAATCATCAATAATGGAAAGCCACTGCCGTATTCTAAAACGTGTGGGGGGACGTTTTCGGTTTTCACAGCCTATCGGCGGCGGATTTGCGACTGAAGAATAATAGCCTCGTATTCGGCGCCATGACGATGAGCTCTTCCAACGCACGCAAAAATTCTCGAGCAAACGAGGCACGGATCAAAATTCATGCAAACTTAGAGTAGTTATATGAGTGATGTTATGGCTGTCTATTTAGGTCCGTCGGCCGATATACAGTAATGTACTGTACATTGTACAGTCCATGCATGTGCCAGAAGCACATCCCTTTTGGGGAGGATGCAAATGTCAATCCTCCACAACCTCCACAACCTCCACAACAACCCATTTAACAGTCCATGCTGGCTCTCCCTCCTCCCAGTTTCCACATCACCCTCCGACTGACTTTATTTTGCAGTGAAACATCGGCAAATACCCACCCTTGGTCACTATTCATCCTCTCCCTTGCCTATCCCACCGCTGTCAAATCTAGATCTTGATCTAGATCTAGCTGTAAACACCCCTTCCTCCCCCATCGCTAGCTTCATTACCTCCCTCCCGATAGCTCTCGCCAATCCGTGTCCGTAGTGTCCCTCCTCCACATGGAGGGTACACAAACTCCCATCCAGCCCTAGAAAAAGCCCATGCCACAGGCATTTCCCCTGAGGCATAGTCAGGGGCCCTGTTGGCCGTACCCCCGGGACAAGAAGAGCTTGTATCATTAGCACCTCCATCGTAGTAGACCGCTACACTATGATTTTGCTCTAAGATCTCCTTCGACCGCACCTTCGACCGCGGGATATCGGTGCGACTAAGCACCAGATCCCCCTGTTGCGCCTGGACTCCCACACGACGCTTGAGGTCGTGGAACCGGTACCCTTGGGGAAGGCCACTATCACTATCATTAATCTCAGATGCACTCCCGTGTTCTTTACACGGTGGATCGTATGTAGACCGGTGGAAAATATATTTTATGTAAACTCCAGAATCGTGGGGAGGGATGCGGATTCTTGGTAAATGTGGTGGTATCTTCTCAGGGCCAGTCATCGTGGCCTGTAACAGATCGTAGATGTCTGTATGCAAGGTGCCAAACATGAATGATGTCGGTGGATGGGGCGGAATCTTTTTAACGGATTTGCCGTGAAATGGAGTAGGTGGGTTGGAGTCAGGGGGGTGGTTACGTCCGTTCCTTTGCGATTCCAGATATGAGATATATGGCGGGATAAGATGTGTTTGGATGTATAGACATAGAGAAAGAACCTGAGCCTATATCTCTACTACAATTTCAGGCTCAAGAACGAGTTTGCTCCATTGACCTATAGCCAACGGCAGCTCCTCTATCGCAGCCCATTCCTGTATCGATGGTACGGAGGCCCCAGCTTCTACGCTTGAATAGAGCCACATTTGGGTTTCGCTGCCGGCATAGACATCCACGCTCACAACGAGCCACGGTGAGTACGCGTTGACGGATGCGGCTGTTGGTGCTGGGGGAAAGGTTGCGAGAATCTGTGCAGTTTCAGATGGGTAGATGAGAGAGTGCTGGATGCGCCTGAAGAGAGGCCCTGAATAGGGAAGATGCGCGGAGAGGAGGGGCAGCAGACAGCTCTGTGATTTATGGTGTCTATGAATGGCTGGAGCAGACATTGTGCCTGATCACTCTTACGATTGAATTTGGTGGATTTCTCTAAACCGTACAGAGGAGCATATCGGCTTTCTCATTTCCGTTTCTCAGTGCAAAAGGCCGACAATCCATTTAAGCTTGAACTCGGACAGAAACTATTTATATAGCTCACTGTTCACATCCATATCAGCCCGCTAAATTATTTAGCGCCCTGACGAAGCTCATAAGTGAACACATACTACAATCCCATCATCCTGCCTTTTAAACCACAGACTCTATACTAAAAGGATCATTGCTGGGGGTATTTTCTATGTAAGTTGGTGGAGAGCACTCCTGAATATCGACCGATACGAAAAAAGTGGACGAGTAACCACTTTTTCCAAGGTTCTACATGTGTATAATCTGACGTATTGAAGAAGTATCAAATCGGATGTTAAATATGGCAACACTAATCGATGATATCTGATAGTGCGAGACTGCTAGGAGACGATTGTGTAGCCTTCATGCTGTAACAAGCCTTTATTACCACTCTTAGTAAAGGATTTTAAAAAGAAACCGCCCACTGTCATACCACATCCCACATAATAAAAAACAAAAGATCCCTATTCTATAGAAATGCTGACAATCCTTCGGATAACACGATAAGAACCCGCACAAACCTACTGTTTCGCCTCGAGGAACAGACTCGACAGCTCCCATACCTGAAGCTCACCCTCCAGCATTCTCACCTATCTCCTGCAGGACGTCAAAAATCTTATACCGCAACCGATGCTCAGCCTCCGCCACAATCCAGCAACTCAGCATGATCATGTCCTCCGTGAGATTCCCCACATGTGGTCCATCGGGGTTGAGATCCTTCTCATCCTTCGCGCGACTGTGCGGGTTGCTGGCGAGTGCATCCACTCTGCGCGTAAAAGCAGCCACTGAGGATCCTCCAACACCATTATTGTCACCAATTGGCAGTTCATAAGCCTCTTCATAAACACGAAGTGCCCCAATGAACAGTTTCTTCTTATTTGGTGGCTGTCCGGTTTTGATTGAGCGGTGGTAGTGTGCTGAACGGCGCTTTTCAAATGTTGCAATTAGGGCGTGGTCGGAGGTACGGATGAGCTATGTAGAAATAATTACCATAATCATACGACAGCAACATACCATGGGTCACAATAGCGGCATAATGTAGCTACGTTACCTCTAGTCGGCTTCTGTGAATACGTACCTTCAAGCAATGAGACCAACCCTTGACTCCTTTCATGAAGCCCGTGGCAAATCTCCGTGTACCGGACCATCTATACCGTGTCCCTTCGATCTCAAACTCGACCTTCCGCGATAATCCCGACCGATGCATACGCACCAATATCACCTTCCCAGACACCGGCTCCTCATCCTTCAGCGGCTCCTTTGGCGGCTTTGATCCTCGACAAAAGAACTTGCGCAATTTCTCCTTACGTGCATAGCTCTTTGCTTTTCTGCGTCGGTCCTTGTTCTTGAGAATTTCGCTGACACCGTCCCCTAGCCAAACTTTGAAGGAGGTCCACATGGCAGTACGCCTGGCACGTCCGATGACGGTCGTCTCAGGGGTATATTTGGGGTTGTCCCCCCTGCAGAAGACCGGGACCCATTGGCTGGCATGTTTGTGAGGGACTTTGTTGACCACAAAATACTGGGCAGGTTCCGTATCTGAAGGGGCGAGCAGAGCCTTGTGGCCAGGGTACAGGCGGGTATACAGTTGGAGATATTTAGTTGGGGACTTGCTAGGTGGGACCTCCGAATTGTGTTCAGAGGGCCTTTTCGTAGGTTTTATCTCAAACATTGTGAGAATTTATACTGCGATTGGTTGTTGCCCATAGTAATGTTCGAAAATGAAGTGGTTCCATATCAGGATGAGAGGTCTGTGAATAATGGGCCACAGCGATGCCATCACTCTTTATAAATGTTCTGTCAACAAGGACGCCGCTCATGATGCTTCTTGAGGTTTGTTCATTGTTGGCGTATGATCTTCGTCGCAATACGAGCCTTCTCCTTGACAGGTTTAGCGTTGGCGTTGGAGGATGCCTCAGCTCTGTGACTTCTCCAATGAAGTGCCGCGCGTTGTGCCTAAGCGCAGATCATTGAGGTCAAGAGCCATTTTTATGCCTCTTCAACACTCGAAAAAATAAGAGCACAAGTTGAAACTGATGGTGATTGGTTTTGCGGTTAGTTTAAGCTTAACTTAAGCAAGTTAGTGATCCCCACTTGGAGCCTCTACATGCAAATCGACAACCACCAAAACCCACCCCCCATACTGTATATCCGAGCGGGATTCGTTTGATAGCAGGCATAGCCTTGTACTTATTTCTGTGGTGGAACATTCAAGTTTGTTTGGGGAAGATGTGGTGGAAGAAGTTTCCTCCTCGAAGAATTCATTGAGACTCCCAAGCAAGTTATTCTTGGGGCTCGGCCATTTGTCGGTCTGTTGCGCAAAGTTCCAGTGTAACTCAATGGGAGCTCCCAGCATCCTGTTGAGAGGCGGAAATATTTCCAGATGGTGTTCAACTATCCGCATTAAGGAGTGAACTATTAGCATAATCATAAAGTACATTATATATAGCATATATTGACGCACTTTCTTCTTTACTCTAGGACACTTAGGCAAAAGAGCTCGGTCACCAGTCTTCGCTGGTGGTTAGAGGCGGAACAGTACCACTTATGCCAACATTTACGATGTTGTCATTGGGAAATTTATATAATATTTTCAAGCTTACCTTATGTGGTATTTTTTTGCGGGTTCTAGTTGGATATGGTTGGTTGGAAAAAAGGTGAGCATGATTGAAAAAAAAAAAAAAAAATTCTAATTTTCTAGCCATAATCAATCTATCAATCTCATCTAAAATACATACACACTATCATAGTGTCTCATTATCTCAAAACAATTCATATATTGAAGATAAGAATTATAGAGTAGCTACTCTCTGGAATGATTAACTGAAAAATATTTCTATTTTCAAATATAACCAGTATTGTTGTATGAAGAAATCAGTCTATTGTTTTAGTGCTTGTGTAAGTTATTTTAGGGCAATCTTGCCAAGACATTTTTGCATAATCTCCAGGGTCGTCATTTTCTCTGGCAACAGACAAATGATGTCGATTGTTATCGGAGCAATTGCAAAACTATGTCACGGACTCTTCCATCCCTGCGCCAATGGGCCCGATATGCGACCAATTATCCAGTTAGCTGCAGCGGTAGGGGTTGTCTTTTAAGAAGCTCATTCAATAAACTGGCAGCGCGACGATTCTACGCTTCAGTGTCCGCGGCAGAGCTCCGCTTCGGACAACCTCTTCACGAAACACATCCACATATCCTAAAAGCTGGGGAATGTATGTGGAGCCCTTATTATAATGCAAAGACATTTGAAGACCCTCGAAATTGACAATTGGCATATTGTTCTTGTTCCAGTGACGCCCGGTATTACCGCCCTCGAATATGCCCATCGCCGCTCCAAGCTTGCGTCAAAGCTACCCAAGAACGCAATTGCGGTCGTCGCCGCTTCGGACATAAAATATAGATCAGGGAGCGTTTTCTACGAGTACCACCAAGATCCGGATTTCTTCTATCTTACCGGTGCGAAAAATTGTTCCACTCTGTTCTCTGGCGACTTTTGCTTATCGAGTGGACTAGGTTTTAATGAGCCCGGCGCATTAGCTATTATTGGTGAGTTTCTAAGCCGTTTAAAAGAATGGTTAGGATTGTTCTGATATATACTAGGAAATGACGGTTCGGATAATGATCATATCTTCCACCTCTACGTTCGCGAGAAAGACCCAAAAGCGGAGCTATGGGAAGGGGCCCGGTCGGGAGTCCAGGCCGCGATTGACGTTTTTAATGCTGATATAGTAAAATACACGATGCATCTGCTTCCTTGGGATTGTGCTAACCTCTTGTTTTTTTATAGAGCGGCAGCATTGACGATATCAGCACATCTCCTCCATCGATCCTTTCAGATGCTTCTACAATATATACAGACCTCAGGCTTACCGACCCGTCGCGATCGTCTTTATCTCGTTTCTTTTCTTTGCTCAAGCAGAAAAACGGTGTATTAGAGAAATTTATGGCTTCACACAAAATGAGGGCATTGCGCCCAGTTCTCAACGAATTACGGATCTATAAAAGTGAAGGGGAGATACAAAATATGCGAAAGGCGGGACAAGCTTCAGGCCGGGCTTTTACAGAGGCTATGAGAAATGGATTTACGAAGGAGAAGGATATCCATGCGTTTTTAGAGTACCAATTCAAAATGAATGGCTGTGATGGCCCGGCTTTTGTGCCTGTTGTTGCTGGTGGCCAGGTAAAAATTTTCTTCCTATAATTTTTGTATTGTTTTTGCGAGCTAATATTTGTTTTTTAGAATGCGCTAAGCATCCACTACGTCAGAAACGACGATGTACTCAGGTATGACGGTAACACGGCCAATTTAACTGGATGTGACACTTATCCGTAACTGGCGTAGAAACGAAGACATGGTCCTTGTTGATGGCGGTGGTGTATGGGCCCCATTTTATCCTTTTTTAAAGATGTTTCTGAGTTTACTAACTGTGATTAAGGAATATGGAGGCTATATATCTGACATTACGCGCACTTGGCCAGTTAATGGCAAATTTTCAGAGCCACAGAAGGAATTGTACAATGCCATTCTGAGCGTGCAGCGTACATGTGTATCGCTATGTCGTGAATCTGCTGGCCTCTCGCTTGATATGCTACACGGCATTGCGGAAAAGGGCTTACGAGAACAACTCAAGGCGCTTGGCTTTGATGTGTCTGGAAGCGTGAGTTCTTCCCAGCCTTCAATTTAAGATCAACTTCAACCACTGCTAACTGCCACTTCTTCGTAGGCCATGGCAACTTTGTTCCCTCACCATCTGGGACATTACATTGGATTGGATGTGCATGACTGCTTGGGATATTCAAGAAATCTCGAACTTGAGGCGGGGCAATGTATAACAATTGAGCCGTAAGCTATTCTATAACATAATTTCGCGAGGATGCTAAACTAACAAGTCATAGTGGTATTTACGTCCCAGACGACGAGCGGTGGCCGAAACATTTTCGAGGAATCGGAATACGAATTGAGGATAGTGTTTGCATTGGAGAAGAGAACCCGCTTATTCTGACTACAGAAGCGGTGAAAGAGGTAGGAGGATGAGAGTGGAAATTCCTTCTCTTTTGGATTCTTTGCTAACTTGAGTAAAAGATCGATGACATTGAAGCTCTGCGATAGGCACAACTGTTTCTGTCCATGAGGTGATATTTGTCTACTGTACAATAAAACAGGTGTAAATTTTGTATTCCTTGATCTATTGTAGTTTGTTTTCAAGTGTTTAGGCCGGTGTCGGTCATGGAAGAACAACAACTTTGTAAAATATATCAAATTCACACTTCATAATCTCATATGAGATATAGTTCAGAATTGCTTTATTTTATTACCGTCTCCGAAAGCTGCATGTCAACTGCACGAACCCCTTAACGACGAAGTTGGCTGGCGGTAAACAGCGCTAGTAGGGTTAGGGTTTGCCCCCATCAACAAGCGCGCTTCTATTGGCTGGCGGACAGCGCGGGTTTTGACAAGCAAAACAACCTCAACCCGGACTCTCCTCCAAACAAACAAGCTCCAAACCTCAGCTGTGTGAACGGGGACTTGACAGGATTACTCATTTAACTCCTCTGCGGGTCCCCAAGGGATTCTTCTATTTTTTTTAATCAATTATCTGTATCCTATTGATGTTAATTGCCAATTACCTCATTTCTTGTCTTGTCATGACCGCGTCGTGAGCTCGGGCTGCCTCATAACACGACGTGCGGTACCTCCCGTGCTCAACTTTGGGCCAAAAGATACCCCTCCTTCCCACCCTCCTTCTCTCACTCACGGGCAGGATATCACTTACATATACATGGCAGCTGTATTTATACCACCTTCACCTCAACCATCGATCGCAATGTCGAGCCGTCGGGTTCCCCTGGTCAACATCCCCAATGGCACTAACTCGCCGCATCGAGGTGCTATTACCTCAGGGAAGCGAAACCTTCCTGGAAATTATCAGACAGAGATGCTCTTTATGCAACCTCCCCCGAAGAAGCAGATGCTGGAGAAAAATGAGGGTGACCTGAACAACAAATCTCCACGAAAGTTGGCGGTGACCAGTACGGAAGGGAAGGTGTTTACGCGCAAGAATACCAATTCCCAACCAACAGCGTTCGAAAGGAAGCTTGTTGCGGCGAGGGAGAAGGACAGGGCACATAATTCGCGAGGAACCAGATATGATAGGACTGGGGGGGAAACTTTGGATAGTATTCGTCAGTGGCAGAAACACTATCGTAAGGCGTTTCCCCAGTTTGTATTTTACTTTGAGAGTATCCCGGAAGATGTTAGGAACAAGTGCTCGAGGCAGATTATGGCTCTTGGTGCTGTAAGTTATTTTTCTCTTTTTTCTTCTCCGTGTTGGTTTGTTCAGGCATATCAAATTTGGTATTTGTTGGATGTGGTCGCTTACGTTCTTTACAGACGGAGGAGAAGTTCTTTTCCAAGGTAGTGACACATGTTGTCACTGCTCGTCCAATCCCTCGTGGAATGGACTCCCCGAATCACACAGAGATATCTACCAATGCTCCTCTGGGCCAACAAAATGCCGATGGATCTGTCCAAACTGTTGACCCGTCACTTCTGGAGAAGAATTACGAGAGCAGCCATGTCAGCCAGGGAGTGGGAAGACCCAGGAAAATATCCGACAAGCGGCCAGGGCAGGAGGGTGATACGAGACGAGATAATAAGGATGTCCTATATCGGGCAAGGCAAATGAATATGAAGATCTGGGCCCTTGAGAAATTACAGCGCGTGATATCTACGATGAATGATGGTGAAAATATCGCTCACCATGGTCATTATACACGTAGTAATGGCACAGTATCCGGTGCTGGAAGGGGGAGGGCAGAAACGGATCTGTCCCAGGTCCTTCGAAACGAACGCTTGCATGGACCTACAGATCGAGACTCTATCTTGGCGTCGAAAGAAATTATTCCCTTCAAAGGCCCATTTATATATATCCATGATTACGAAGAGAAGACTCGACCAGTTATGGTCCGTGAGTACCCGAAGGTTGCCAGGCGACAGGATGGAGCATGGCCGCAGTTTCGGAGCGCTGCGCTGGGGAAATGCCCTTTTATCGATGAACCGCTAACGAAAAAAGAATTGGAGAAGCGGAAAGCTACCGCTAATCAGACGAAAGATAAGTGGCCTGCTACGAAGGAGAAATCTACGGCGACTACGGAAATAAAGACAATGCAACCCCCAGAGCGCTCTGTTGAGAAACGAGCCTTGCAAGACGCGCAGGAAGGTGTGAATCAAACAATTACACGAGAAGCACCTGTTCCAGCCCCCAAGCGGGTTGAGACTCTTTTAATGCTGCCAGCAAAACCCGCCTCTCCTCGTACCAAAGGATTTGAGACATTCCCTGATGCAAAAGCTTCTCTCGCCACCTATCTAGCGCGGGAACCGGCGGCATCTGGAGTCCAGCCATCAAACATCACGTCAGCAATCAGATCGCAGATGGTATCATCTACCGCAGCAGCCCCAGGAGCGAAAGCAGGAACGAGTAAAGAGGTGCACGGATTGAAGAGGAAGGTTCTTGAGAAGGGACACAGTACCTTATCGGCGAATGGAAGCGGGATTCCCTCTTCGCATAGAATGACGGACATTTCTGGTGCTCTTAAAGCTTCCAGGGCCCCAGTGACAAGAGCAGCGAAGAGTAAGGCGACCGGCAACCTCGATCAGATCGATGAAGACGGCACCACCCAGTCGGAAGGTGAGAAGGTACAGAAGCCCCAGCAGGCCAGCAGGAAGAGTAATACGGCGCGATCCAGGCAGAAGAAGCGTGATCCCAAGCCAGGATACTGTGAGAATTGTCGTGACAAGTTCGAGGATTTTGAGGAGGTAAGCTACAAGCATAAGATCGCTTTTTCTCCCCTTATCGTTACCGTTGTTAGCTGACTCCCGTGGTCACACAGCATGTATTGACGAGAAAGCATCGCAAGTTTGCGTTGACCTCTTCCAACTGGATCGAACTGGATGAACTGCTCAGGTCTCTTGAACGTCCGCTCAAGCATCAGGATGTGGATAATTGGTGAAACCCCTCAGTTGCAAATACAAGATTACATTCATTCCGGGGGCTTTTTCTAATTCTTTCAAAGAAATCTTTTGTGTTTATTAGAGGGAGCTAGCTCATTTAACGTTTTCTCAAGCTTGATTTGTTGTTTCTTCGTTCGCTTCGTATTTTCGCTCTTCTGATTATTATTCCTTGACTACTTCAGAACACGGGGAAGGCAAATATAGTATCTTCATTTAAATGCTTTATTTCTCTCTTCTCCGGTTTGCTTTTCTGTCCTCTTTCTTGGGAATATGCATATAATACCGGCACCCGACTCTTTAATTTCTTCTCTACTCTCCTCAATTTCTGCGGCTGTTATTCCTGTGCTGACCCAGGCTCAATATTTTCGACAGCCAAACAACACAAACCATTGCCGACCCTTTGTTGAGTTCGGCCCGACCGAGCTTGGTAAAGGTAAGGACATGTCCGCAGCTATCTTACAGCCGTGATTCACTAGCTGTGTATGTATGCATAGATATTAGTTCCTCACATACGTCACTTGACGGGTTTTAAAGGCGTCACTCGATTTGTTGCTTGGGTTGTTTGGCCGTGCTGCAAGAGAGAGATTTAAGCCGGTGATAGGGGTCATACACAGCGGTTGAATACAATTTCAACTTCGAAGTGGAACAACTCGTGATGACAGCGTAATCTTGGAATAGGTTTCTCGTAGTGTGATGATGTTGGCGTTAGACACTTGGCAACCATATTTTTTGATATGAGGCAGGGTTGGCCAATTTGTCAGCTGCAACCGGAACCCAGAACTCCGGGCTGATCCCTCCCTATTTACATGCTTCAAACCCCTCAAAGGAACGGAGGAACCGCCAGCATGCGTATGGGGCTGAAATCCTTTATCGTTTCTTGAGGAAATAAAAATTAAATTGAAAATGAAAGACGCGGGTGGCTTCGAATGTGTAAAGTGCAAGTTCAGGTTTACTCAGAGTGAACAACTTCCGCCCAATTTCAGAACTCCTTGGTTGTATATAGACTGACCGATCTATAGAATCTTCTCTTGTTCGACATACCAAGAAATGTGTCGATGGCCGGCCTCCAGTTGTCCGACAAAAGGCTTGTCGTGAGTGCTCGGCAGCAAAGACGCGGTGTGATTTAAAGCGTCCGACCTGTTCTCGATGTACTCTCCGAAACACCATCTGCATGTATCCCACCTACCCTGCAGGCCCGGAAATCGGTGTTGAAAGCCATGGATTTCCCCAAAAGGACAGTCAAAAATCTACCAGTCCACTGCAAGGCCATGTCCGTTTCGGACCTGATCCACTGTGTGGTGGCTTTAACCCGGAGGTTGAACTCCCTACTCCTGAAAGCGAGACATTAGATTTCCATTCCATACTACCTCCAGACCTTGGAGTGCTTGAGAATGAATTATCAGCTGTGTTCGACGGCTATACCGATGTTGATAGCCTGAACTACAATTATGCCTTGGTTAGAAATATACCCGACTCAAGTAGCGGCGAAGGTGTTCAAATAGCACCCTCAACTCCGCCACCCGCTTATGCTCTGGGATTGACTCGTCACACCATGCAAACGTTATTTCGAATAGCTCAAACCTGGCCTCGAATGATGGCCAAAGGTACTCAGTTGCCCCCTATCATACACCCCAAACAGGTTTCGGACGGAATTATCCCGGAACCTCTAACGAACTGTTTCGCCCTCGTAAAAATGTGGCATGGACAGCCTCACGGAGGAGCCAGCATTGTTCAACAAACAGTGAGGAGAGAAATGCAAACAATTGCAAACTCGGTATGCTACTAGGCGAAAGTATTTTCATTTGAGTTGAGGATTAGGGCTGATAGATTCGCAGTTTCAAACGCTCGACGAGACCGAGCTCGTCGCAGCTCTGCAAGCGCTGACGATATATACCCTTATGCTCTTATTTCCTTCTAATGACCAACAGACCATCCCACTACTTGAGGATAAGCTCGTAAGGCAGCTGAGGAGTATAATTCAGCACGTTGTGTCAACGGGCGTGGTACTCCAGGAGGAGATCGAACGTACTCGGCCCTTTTGGGAGTGCTGGATAGCCGTTACTTGCAAACGACGAGCGGCACTAAGTTTGTACACTATATACTGGGGTTATAGTGTGTATCACTGCATACCAGCCTTTGATTGTAGCGAACTACACCATATGCCCGCGCCGGCTCCCAAGTACCTATGGCAAGCCACGACAAACGAGCAGTGGGAGTCATTATACAACCGATGGTTAGCCCACTGGGATGGGCCGTATTATCGCCATGGGGAAATATTCGAAATCAATACTGGGATCCGGATGGATCCACGGGCCGAGCTCTGGTTTGAAGAAGTCGATGAGTTTGGCATGATATTTGCAGCTGCTAGTAGGTAGACCGGATTTCTTAACACT